ATCATGTGTACATTTATTATGACTTTGTCAGAAGTTTTTATCACATACTTTTGGATATTTTTATGACATGTATCATGTATATTTGTGAAGCAAATCCTGAAAATAGTGCTATTATATATATTAATCTGATATCTTTAATATATCTTTAATCACATGTATTTTGGTTATTGTTTACCATATGAAGTCAACCCTTTATATAGTGCTTACTTGAATCATGATTTAGTCAAAAACTTTTATCACATGTATTTTGGTTAATGTTTACCATATGAAGTCAACCCTGTTTATAGTGCTTACTTGAATCATGATTTAGTCAAAAACTTTTATCACATGTATTTTGGTTAATGTTTACCATATGAGGTCAACCCTGTATATAGTGCCTACTTGAATCATGATTTAGTCAAAAACTTTTATCACATGTATTTTGGTTAATGTTTACCATATGAAGTCAACCCTGTATATAGTGCTTACTTAAATCATGATTTAGTCAAAAACTTTTATCATATGTATTTTGGTTAATGTTTACCATATGAGGTCAACCCTGTATATAGTGCTTATAATTACTTGAATCATGATTTAGTCAAAAACTTTTATCACATGTATTTTGGTTAATGTTTACCATATGAAGTCAATCCTGTATATAGTGCTTACTTGAATCATGATTTAGTCAAAAACTTTTATCATATGTATTTTGGTTAATGTTTACCATATGAAGTCAACCCTGTATATAGTGCTTACTTGAATCATGATTTAGTCAAAAACTTTTATCATATGTGTATTTTGGTTTATTTTTGCCATATGAAGTCAACCCTGTATATAGTGCTTACTTGAATCATGATTTAGTCAAAAACTTTTATCATATGTATTTTGGTTTATTTTTGCCATATGAAGTCAACCCTGTATATAGTGCTTACTTGAATCATGATTTAGTCAAAAACTTTTATCACATGTATTTTGGTTTATTTTTGCCATATGAAGTCAACCCTGTATATAGTGCTTACTTGAATCATGATTTAGTCAAAAACTTTTATCATATGTATTTTGGTTTATTTGTGCCATATGAAGTCAACTCTGTATATAGTGCTCACTTGAATCATGATTTAGTCAAAAACTTTTATCATATGTATTTTGGTTTATTTTTGCCATATGAAGTCAACCCTGTATATAGTGCTACTCCCATTAACATCTATTTTTATCACATGTACTTGAATTGGTTTAAAGGGTTATATTTGATCTGTAAATAATGAAATGTGAAGTTATGTTTGGAGACCAGTCTTACCAGGTGTATTTAGTGTCATGATGAAAGATTAAATTTCAGAAATTTATTTCTATCATGTAAATTGAGGCGATTTCTAAAATATCATATAAATTATTGTGTTTGTTAATGTTTGTGGTACTGGATACACTTATCTTGAATTGTTTGTGTAACTGTCTTGCTAAATATTAAAATTAAAAAATAAAGCTGTATATTTTAATTTTGTTTCACTTTGTATTGTGTTTGTGGTACATGTACGACAGTATATTATGGCCAATGGATCAAATGACAGGGATACTGTAAGCCTTCAACAATGAGGAAAACACTAATCTTGAATTGTTTGTGTAACTGTCTTGCTAAATATTAATATTGAAAAATAAAGCTGTATATTTTAATTTTGTTTCACTTTGTATTGTGTTTGTGGTACATGTACGACAGTATATTATGGCCAATGGATCAAATGACAGGGATACTGTAAGCCTTCAACAATGAGGAAAACAAGAATTAATACTGTATCTGCATTATAAAGTAACCTGGATAACAAAAGGTGAAACTTTTAAGAAACTCAGCTAGGTGTCACATTTCTTATGCTTCTGTTAGACATTGACAATAAAAAAGGTCAAGGGTTTCACTTTCTCAAACTGGTTACGACGTCTTAACACCTAATACATTGGGTGTTTTACTGATTGATACTGTTGTCTATAGCTATGGGAACCTGATTTATTCATAATTTGTAATTGGCTGTGAACTGGCCTCCAAGAACTGTGAGCACTCTTTTATCTCAAATACTATAAGCCATAAGTGAACTATATTTGGTGTATGGTATGATTGTAAGGTATACATGTCCGCTTGGCAGGTTTCATATGACCTTGACCTCAATTCCTTGGTTCATTGGACGAGGTTTTTTTGTGGTTTGGTCAATTTCTCAGCTGCTATATATAAGCAATAGGACCACTAAATTCCGTGTATGGAATATTTCTAGTGTGTTCATGTCTGTCTGGCCGGTTTCATTTGACCTTGACCTCATTTTCATGGTTCATTGATTAATGTTATGATTTTGTGGTTTTATCTGATTCTCATGTACTGTAAATGATAACAAGAGTGCACACGCTGAAATGTCTCGCCTTCTTTACTAACCATTGATATTATGTTGATAGTCCAAAATATAAAGCTTTACTACAACTATCACATAAACTTAACTTGATCCAAGAAAATGAAGTCAAGGTCATATAAACCAAACGAGAAATACATGTACACCTTACAATCATTCAATACAATAAATATAGTTGACCTATTGCTTATAGTTTCTAAGAAACAGACTTAACAAAGAAAACTAAACATTGACCAATGAACCATGAAAATGAGGTCAAGGTCAGATGAACCATGCCAGGCAGACATGTACAGCTTATAATCCTTCCATACAACAAATATAGTTGACCTATTGCTGATAGTTTTAGAAAACAGATCAAAACACAAAAACTTAACACTGAGCAATGAACCGTGAAAATGAGGTCAAGGTCAAATAAAACCTACGAGACTGACATGTACATCATAAAATATTTCCATACACCAAATATAGTTGACCTATCGCATATAGTATTAGTATTATAAGACCAAAACTCAAAAACTTAACTTTGACCACTGAACCATGAAAATGAGGTCAAGGTCAGATGACACGTGCCAGTTGGACATATACACCTTTCAATCATTCCATACACCAAATATAGTAGACCTATTGCTTTTGTATCTGAGATATGGACTTGACCATCAAAAATTAACCTTGTTCACTGATCCATGAAATGAGGTCGAGGTCATGTAAAAACTGTCTGACGGGCATGAGAACCTTGCAAGGTACGCACATACCAAACATAGTTATCCTATTACTCATAATAAGAGAGGAATTAACATTACAAAAATTTTTACCTTTTTTTTCAAGTAGTCACTGAACCATGAAAATGAGGTAAGGACAATGGACATGTGACAGACGGAAACTTCGTAACATAAGGCATCTATATACAAAGTATGAAGCATCCAGGTCTTCCACCTTCTAAAATATAAAGCTTTTAAGAAGTTAGTTAACGCCACCGCCGCCGCCGCCGCTGCCGCCGGATCACTATCCCTATGTCGAGCTTTCTGTAACTAAAGTCGCAGGCTCGACAAAAACCACTTTTTAGTGTATAGAATGATTGTGTACATCATCTGTCTGCCATGGTTCTTCTGACCGAAACTTTATTTCCATGGATTATTGGTATAAATATATATATATGTTTATAAATTGTTGAAGGCCATGCTCACATCTATGGCATTGGAACTCAAGTGAAAAGTTTTGTCATTGGAAACCATATCCTTTATAGTAATCAAAGAATACGAAGAACACCAACCTGAACCAATATCTCATCCCGATACAACACATGTCTAATTTTTTCAAATAAAAAAATCTATTAACTGTGCATGATTTTATTCATCATCATGTTCATTGATTATTTACAAACTTTTATATTTCTCACAACAATTCATTGATTAACTATTCAACAACAATGTATTGAACCAAAGTTGTGAAACTTCATTTTCATTGTTCATTATATATATATAATTAATGCTAAAAGTTCTGAAAATAACATATTTTTTTTAAATAACAATCACTTCCCACAACCATTAGTGGGTCATAAAATTGGCAACAATACATTTGCTGAGGCTCTATTTCTCCATATTATGAACATGATTCACTATCAACGCAATATTTTCTGCATATACAATAGTCAAATGTGGATGTAAACTCAAGACTTGATCTTTGGTTTTAATGTCATGGAAGTTGTCGATGATAGTGTATACTGTAAGCAATCAGTGAGCGAGGACCCCAGGCTATCGTGCGCTAAATAGCCTTCGATATTAAAGTGAAGGACATAATGGTTTCAATTCAGCAGATTAATCAGTTTGAGCTTTCTTTTATAGATGACTGATTGAATGTTGGTGTTTCAAGCCTTGCATTAACTTTCAGCATTCTTTCACACGATATTTTTTTTGCTTGTATTTATCGATGATACATAGTTAGGTAATTTTCCTGGACTGATTGATATGTATCTTCTTCTACACGTCCGAAGCGTTTTTCTGTATTTACCTTAACCAGTAACGCTCAATCAAAATAAAATTAAAAAAAATTGAAAGCCTCCGTATTCAGATTTTTGGGGAAAATTCATATTTCAATTGATTCGGTATTGCAAGTCACATGTGGAGCAGGATCTGCTTACCCTTCCGGAGAACCTGAGATCAACTTCAGTTTTTGGTTGGGTTCGTGTTGCCAGTCTTTAGTTTTCTATGTTGTGTCTTTAGTTTTCTATGTTGTGTTATGTGTACTGTTGTTTGTCTGTTTGTCTTTTCTTTTTTAGCCATTGCGCTGTAAGTTTATTTTCAACTTATGAGTTTTAATGTCCCTTCGGTATCTTTCTCCTCTCTTCTTGAACAGATCAATTTCAGAATCTACTGACAGCTGTAACCATTCAAATCTTTGTTTGACTGAAATCGTTTCCCAGAGGATGTTATTTTATCAATAATTAAATATTGTATATGACAAATAGTTCAAAGCTACAAAGCCAATATAAATTTGTTGCAAATTTCATTGTTTACACGTCTAGAGATTGTCGATCGGAATCTATTGACGGACTGAGCTCTTTTTGGAAACTATTTTCTGTAGCTAATTGCGTCTGTGCGGGTTAAATTGAATTTAACATTAAAATTCCCGTATGTAGTACTGTATGCCTTATAAATTCGGAGTCAACTGCATTTAGTTTGCATTTCCGACCAACGACTTCGACATAGCAAGATGTTGGTCTCCAAGTTGAAAGCGTTTACTGGATATACGTCTATCCATGGTATTGGACGATTCGGAGATGCTAGTTATATCTTGCAGAAAATTTTCTGGACTTGTGTTTGTTTAGGATCGTTTTCAATGTGTGTTTTTCAGATATACCGCCTTATTGGTCAGTACACAAGGTAATTTTGTTTTATCAATCTTCAATTTGAGCTTCTGAATTTAATTCACTGAAAAGACCCGAGTATATCCCGAATATGAATATATTCCTGGGTTTTCATATCGTTTCTTGTATGAAATCTATCGTGCACTATATACAGTCTTCTGATTTGAAATTTTGAGCTGCTGATTTGAAATCATTATGTCCTTCGCTTTAATATCGATGCACGATAGATTTCATACGAGGAACGATATAAAAGACAAGGAATATATTCATATTCGGTGCATACTCGGGTTTTTTCGGTGAAAGTGCTTCTGTTCAATCTGATTAAAATACAGATCCTGTGTGTCCGAGCTATACTTACTAGGATCAGATCTTGACAATAAAAAATACTAATAAATACATGTATATGTTCTTTAAATATTAAGCTTAATTTTCTTTTGAACCACTATTATGAAACTTTTGTTAACCATATATATATTTATATACTTTGACATGCTTTGATACTATATCTGCCCTTGAATTTTTACTTGATAACATTTTTGTTCGCTTTGGAGATTCCGTATATCGTCAAGTTATCGGAATTCCAATGGGGACTAACTGTGCACCACTTATTGCGGACCTGTTTTTGTATTGTTATGAGTTACAATTTATGACTAAAATCAGCAAAGACCTATCGAAACAACATCTGATACAAAAATTTAACAATACTTTTAGATATTTGGATGATATATTGGCTCTCAATAATGACGACTTCAGTATGTATACTAAAGAAATTTATCCTGTTGAACTTACTTTAAATAAAGCTAATACTAACAATGACCACTGTCCTTTCCTCGATCTTGATATCTATATCATTAACGGGAAGCTTAATACAAAAAATTATGATAAAAGAGATGATTTTTCATTTCCTATCGTTAATTATCCATTTTTAGATGGTGACGTTCCCTTGTCACCATCTTATGGTGTTTATATATATATCTCAACTTGTACGATTCGCTCGTGTATGTAACAACGTATTAGATTTTAGCGAGAGAAATTTATGTATTACTGAAAAATTATTACACCAGGGTTTTCGATATCATAAACTAGTCAAAACGTTTACTAAATTTTATCATCGGTATAAGGACATCGTTCGTAAATATAACTCAACATGCAGACATCTTATACGTTCGGGTATTTCACATCCACTCTTTTATGGTAATATTCTTTACAAAGCACAAAAATGTCAGTATTCACCTCAAAAGCTAACAAAACCTTTAAACATACTTATTAAAAAGTGATATAGTTACGATACTGTTGTCAGGTCATTAAAGATTGCATATTTTGGCTTTAATATTGATTCACTTATAGGGTCTTTGCATCGGAATTAAACATATTTATTCTAAAACCAGTTGTTGGCATGACACGGGTTATGTTCTTCTCATATATTTTATGATGGTATAATACTAAACCCCTAACAGGAGGGATTGTGCCTGATATTCATATGATGTAGACATAATCTTTCAATCAGTTTAATTGAGGTCTGGAGCTGGCATGTTAGTAACTGCTAGTAGTCTGTTGTTATTTATGCATTATTGTCATTTTGTTTATTTTCTTTTGTTTCCTATTCTGACATCGGATTCGGACTTCTCTTAAACTGAGTTTTACTGTGCGAACTGTTGTGCGTTTGTTTTTTCTACATTGGCTAGAGGTATAGGGGGGGGGGGGGGTTGAGATCTCAAAAAACATGTTTAACCCCGCCGCATTTTTGCGCCTGTCCCAAGTCAGGAGCCTCTGGCCTTTGTTAGTCTTGTATCATTTTTAATTTTAGTTTCTTGTGTATAATTTGGAGTTTAGTATGGCGTCCATTATCACTGAACTAGTATACATATTTGTTGAGGGGCCAGCTGAAGGACGCATCCGGGTGCGGGAGTTTCTCGCTGCATTGAAGACCCATTGGTGGCCTTCGGCTGTTGTCTGCTCTATGGTCGGGTTGTTGTCTCTTTGACACATTCCCCATTTCCATTCTTAATTTTATTTGACCTATAATGGTTTACTTTTATAATTTTGACTTGGATGGAGAGTTGTCTCATTGGCACTCATACCACATCTTCTTATATCTATATAATAGTTTTTGCACCTTTTGTTTGCGGTATACCATCTTTTTCGCAAGTTTATTGTTTTTTGTTTGGTATTAAATTAATAGTTCAGATCCATTTTGTTACATCTGGTGATCCGTTTATTTGGCAATCGCCAATGGCAGTCAGCAGGGTTTAAGAACAACCGTTGTTCGACCTGCTAGTCAAATGCATTTTGTTAAAATATACTTTTTCACTTTTTTGGTCTTTTGAAAAATGTTGTTTGTGCTGTATTTAGACCCCTCTACCAAGAAATTTGTTTTGCATGCAAACGTATAAAAAATGCGGTTTTTATCCAACGCAATCATAGGTTTGAAAGTTGTTTTCAATTTAGACTTGTTTATATATATAATAGCATATATAAAATAGCCATAATATCTATGGTTTAACGATCAAGACTAAGTACATTCAAGAAGGTTGTAAGAGAAAGTCTCATAAAACTTCCTTGCTACATTGTACCTTAACCATTGTAATTGCAGCGTTCACTTGAGATAACCGAGGAGGGGAAGGTGCCTTTCAGTGGCGCAGCTAGGCCATTTTAAAGTGTACGCCCGAACCTCGGCAAGACCTGATAAGGCCCAGCGGGTCCAGGGCAGAGGGGTCTCTAGGATGCGAAGCCACGTAAGCTCAATTGTTATCGAGAAAGACATCTACTCCCTTTGCAGGGTCACCGAATTAAAAATATATGCGTTTATTTTTTTAAAAATAAATTAGGCATGGACCATTTGGCTTTCTGGGAGGGAAAGTGGGGGAGGGACTGGGTTTTTTTGAAAAAAAATAATCTGGCCTCTATTTTGACAAAAAAAAAAATAATCTGGCCTCTATTTTGACAAAAAAAAATAATCTGGCCTATTCAGTTGCTAAAAAAAATATTCTGGCTTCATCTTCAGCAAGTATGACATGTATGATGTATTTATAAACAAATTATTGCTTTGGATTGACTGAAAAAAAATTATTCTTCCTCGGTTTGCATGATAAAAAAAATCTGGCTTGATTTAAAAACCCCTCCCCCCAATCTTGATTGGCTGCTAAAAGTGGCTGCCAGCTTTAGTCTGGTTGTACAACCTCAAGTTTAGTGTAATTTTAAAATCTATAATTCAAAATCAAAAATTTAATCTTCAAAAAAGTTTTGTTGTCAATAGACAAAATCTCAGTTTTGTTGTCAATAGACAATACTGACTGCATATGGCAAATAGAATAAGGCGACAATATACTATACACAGAATTTAGAATGGGGAATGAGAATCCGGTCCAATATATCATGGATGAACTGAACACGTGCTTTGTAAAAAAGGGACGAAAGAGATACCAGACGGTTAAACTCATAGATCGAAAACAAACTGACAACGCCATGGCCAAAAATTAAAAAAAACAAACAGTTGACACAACATAGAAAACTAAAGACTAGGCAACACGAACCCTACCAAAAACTGGGGGTATCGCAGGTGCTCCAGAAGGGTAAGCAGATCCTGCTCCACATGTGGCATCCGTCGTGTTGCTTATGTTATTACAAATCCGGTAAGGGTTAGTATTCGCTACTCAACCACTGGCAACCAATTTGATTGAATTACAGATTATGTGTACACGCTGCGCTTACGAATATCTGACAACGCTCTGTTCAACGTTCAGTTTTAGAGACCTTTCGGAATCTTATTTTTTTGTCGTAATGATTACCCAATTTCAAAAAATTGAAGGCTTAAATTTCATTGGCTGATGTAATAATTGCCAGAATAGAAAGTAAAACGGACGTTGTCAGATCCTTTTAACTGAAGCGTGGACACATGATATGTGTCTTAATCAGATTGAGTGGCACCCAACATGTTACTCCAATCTCCGAAACAGCGGTGATGTTACTTTGCTAAATTATCACGCTAAGTCAACGTAGCAAGGAAGACGTTACCGCTGTTTCGGAGTTTTGTGTTGCTCAGGACAAGAAAAAATCGTTGTAAGATTCATTCAATTATAGTCATACACTAGGAAGTGAAATTAAACGTTATTGTGGCTATGACAAATAGAACATTCTTTATATTTCAGTTTTCGGTAAGTGCGTTTTTTATCTAATATCTGAAAAACTATAATAGATAGATGAAAACTTAAATGAGCAAAAATTATCAGCAAGACGAGATCTTTAAATAAGTTTGCAATCTTGAAATCATCTGACGACCCCTTATTGGAGTTATTACCCTTTGATAATGATTTTTACCATTTTATTGTACGTTATTTCTTAATATCTGAAAAAATATAATAGATAAATAGGATCTTAAATAAGTAAAATTGGTCAGTAATATTCGATCTACAAATGAGTCAAAAAGCCAAAATCGTCAGTTGAGTCCTTGTATGAGTTGTTGCTCTTTAATGAAGATTTTTACTAATATTTTACGTGTTTGCCTACTATCTTGAAAACCATAAAAGATAAATAGACACTTTAAATCGCAAAAATGATAAGACACATTTTGCTAATATCGTAGATTAATTTTAATAGGAATGATTGCCTTAGGGAGCTACCATTTGATTTTTATGGGGGGGGGGGGGGGGGGGCTAGGATGAAATTTAAAAAAAATAGGCAAGACAGGAGTATTGAGTAAAAAAAAAAGGCAGGATGAGATTATTTGCAAAAAAGAAAGGCAGGATGACAATTTATGTCAGGTTTTTTCAAAAACAAACTTCAAATGATTCAATGTCATCTCTGATGAACTGCATTTCAAATAGTCTAGTGGCGTATGATTTTGTGTCATGGATGGATACCCTATATCCTTTTTTTTTTCTATTAAACACCAACAATTAATTCAATAAATCACTTGATACTAAAAATAAAGTCTTTTGATTTAAAATTTTCAGCCCTCAAGAATCACTTCTACTGACGAGAACTAAATGTGAGAACTGTTTTTATTACTAACATCGATTCAAATGTCTGAAGTGCCCTAGACTATCATGTCAAACAAACTTTATTGCTTCGCATCACGGTGCGGAGTTATTACTTTCAGTCGATAAACACGCCATCTTGAAATAATTAAAATTAATTATGTGTATTTCAGTTCCGATCAACTGTCATTAATTCGTGTTCGTTTTATTATCATGCATATATTGCACACTAAAATTCAATATTGAAATATCAATTATTAATACGTGTTTATTTGCTTTGTTAATCTGCAATATGCACGATTTGTTTTGCTAAACAATGTTCCTATACAATGTTTACAAAAATGCATCATCTGTATTTTATAACTTCTGCCAATATTCTAAGCACACCTCCAGAGTCGTGTCTATTTGTAAATGTTTTAATTTTCAACAAGTAAAGTGAACAAAATTTAAAAAGCATGGGTGTATAACGCACACTCTTAAAGTAGAAAGACATCATTTTCACTGAAACTAAATAGATATTGCTGTTTCTTATTTATTTCAACTGTTGTAAAGTATCTTTTGGTTGTACAAGTCTTTCTTACTCCTTGGTTTTGATTGTTACTGTCTTCATCACTCGAAATCATGTTACTCTTAATCAACATACCTAAACATTCATATATATCTAAATAATTTATATACAGAACTAGCAATCAAAGTATCAAGTCAATGGCCAGTTGAAAGAACTAGACAAACCACACTCAACAAAAACACATTGACAACTAATCACTGAACAGCCAGTTTTAAATTTCAGAAAAGTTCATCTTAATATATATACAAAAATTGATTTTCCAAGATTAAGACATTTTATATCAATTAATAACTAAAAATATTTCCAATACTAAATCAACAACCACATTCACACATATTACCTTAAATTAGGATAGAGCGAAGCAGTCCACAGCTTTTTAGAAAGCTCAAACTTGTAATGTCTTAGCTATCGTTCGCTTTGTAATGTTGTCGTTTACGATCTATTGTTAAAAAGACGATTAACACAGATATATCATTTGCGAGGCTCTTGATTGGGTTTACAGATTGGAAAATAATGGGCAAAAAGTGCAGAATAATGAGCAACAAATAAATGTAAATAGTAAAGGAAAATTGGGCAAAAAATAAAGAACAGAGAATGATAGGCTGCTACAATATAAAGAATAGAGAATAATGGGCAAAAAATATAAAGAATAGAGGAAAAAATAGAGAATACAGGAATAAAGGACACCCACCCAGAACCTCATTTGCATGCCACTTTACATTATTTACTGTCATTACTTTATGTAGACTAAGCCGGCAAGAATATGAATCGCCCAACTAACGAATCTCTATTTTCATAGAACCTAGTTGGCGGCCGAGTAGTTAAGTGCGATCGTAACCATGGTAACGGTGAAGGTGATGTTGCGATTGATGCTTCAACAGCTTGAGTGCGAATTCCAAAGAGTTGTTTTAGTAAAAACTGTTATACGTGTATTTTTATTTATCTTAATTATTAATTTTCAGCGAGAGTGTAAACACACAAATATCAACTACTTACTCAAAGTTGGATTTTCCAAGTATTACATTTTGTAATTTAAATCCATTGAGTTATAACAAAGCAAAGAAAGTCACTGCGTTTTATCAGATCGTCAACGAAACAGCCAAGGCTTTAAAAGTAGATCCCTCGTTCTTCGATAATGCTATACAGGTATGACTCTATATACAAGTGTTTTATTGATATAAATAAGGTATGGTTCTATATACAAGTGTTGTAACGACCTACATGGGTATGATATTAAACAGGTATTTTGATGAGATAGAGGTATGATTCTAAACAGGTGTTTCAATGACATACATGTATGCATCTGTATAGGTCTTTTAATGACATACTGGTTGTTTTAATGACATACAGCTATGGTTTTTTGAAGATTTTTTTATGACATTCATTTATGATTCTTTACAGATGTTTTAGTGACATACATGTATGGACAGTATGGTTCTTCACAAGTATATAAATAAAATGACATACACGAATGATTCTTAACAGGTGTTTAAATGACATATAAGAATTATTCCTAACAGGTGTCTAACGATGTACATTTTATGATTCTAAACAAGTGTTCAATGATATACAGGAATTATTCCTAACAGGTGTTTTAATGACATACAGGTATGATTTTAAACAGGTGTTTAATGACATACTGGTAAGATTTTAAACAGGTGTGTAATGACAAAGGTATGATTTTAAACAGGTATTTCAATGAAATACAAGTATGATTCTTAACAGGTGTTTAGTGATGTACAGGTTATGACTCTGAAACAGGTCTTTCAATGACATACACGAATGATTCTAAACAGGTGTTTAATGACAGAGGTATGATTCTAAACAGGTGTTTTGATGAAATACAAGTATGATTCTTAACAAGTGTGTAATGATGTCCACTGAAACAGGTCTTTCAAATGACATACAGGAATGATTCTAAACAGGTGTTTTAATGACATACTGGTTTGATTCTAAACATGTGTTTTTATGAAATACAAGTTTCGGGTTTTATACAGGTGGTAAAATGACATACACGTGTATAAATCCTAACATATGTTCTATACAGGTGGTATAATGACATACATGTATGAATCCATACATACGTTACAGGTGGTATAATGGCATACATGTATGAATCCATACATATGTTCTATACAGGTGGTATAATGACATACATGTATGAATCCATACATATGTTCTAAAGGTATTCTTTGCGAATCCGCTTGAACAAATATTTAATCCTTTCTGTATAGAAAATGTTTGTAAAATTTGGTATTAACATCAACTATCCAACTTCCGAAGTAAGGTTGTCGGCTCTCCGAACTTTCCCGAAGCCAGTCGAGTTTATGAGCTTCGGTACTAGCTTGGAAGATGATCAGTTACCTTGTATTCCCTGCTTCAACTTTATAAACATAAAGTATAGATACATCAGCGAACAAATTTGCTTATGGAAAACCAAAATGTTATACTATATTGGCCATGCATGAAGTTTATATTATACTATGTTACCCATGCAGTTATTATTATACTATGTTGCCCATGCAGTTATTATTATATCATTGATTTCTATATTCTGTTTCAGCCAACTACATCTCAACACACTGAGACATACGCACCCGGTAAGGCTTTTCTCAAATTTTTACATAACGTCCTGAATTAAGTTATCCTCTTAAAAAAAGTTTAGTATTCTTAAGCCAAAAATGAAATTTGAATTGTTTGATGTTGACTACCTACCCACCTAAATAGCAGACTACCCGAACAAATTTATGACACAAATCGTTTCAAATTTTGTTTTAAAAGATTTATTCTTTCTCTAGTTCAACGTCGTTTTCTTGTCTACATCATGTAACTTAAGTTGTTGGCTAAAAAAATTCCATACCTACCTACCCAATCCTACAGGCATGGGTAGGCAACATCAAACAAAGAATTTTTTAAGGATGGCCTTATCATATATGTTTGATATAAAGTTATCATTGTATATAAGAAAAATCTTCAGGAGTTTGAAATACTGGTGACTGATTCTATCTGTATCATTGATCAAACAAAATGATTGATAAGTTTAACTAAGAAGAAAGAGATTTTTAGTATACATGGTATAGGTGTCAGACCACCAATTCATCCACTCCAATTTAGAACGTATGTAGCCCTTCCCTGACAAAATATAGTGCTTTTGATGTCATTGTTTACTTAAACTGACCAACAAATTTGCAGAAATGAAACTGTCGTTGAAAAAAGAAATATATGTAGACATTTTGAGCCAAAATTTACTTGTCCATGAGTTTGCATTAAAAATTGAGGATTAATGCGCTCCATAGTATACTTATTTAAGATTAAATTTTCCAGAAAACCAGGGGTTATTTTAGCAGTACTTGTCTTCCGAACGTCAGTATATCCTTACAAGACTTTAAACATAGGCAATTCAGGATATACCTGGTTGCTATGAAGTTAAACTTAATGTAAACTGCTAAGAAAGCTCTGAAATTTGCAAAATTTGGTTGAATAGATAGGGATTTTGAATTGGTGGTCTGACACCTATATGATACATATGTTTTTGTGGTATATTAAATCAATTCTAATCTTTGCAATTTGCAGGAGTTTTTCCACTAAATTATTCCTTTGTATTCATAGTCGTCCTAATTTTGGGACGATACAAATATGTAACCGCTGTCATAAATATATCACATTAAAAATCAAATATTCAGAATTTTAAATAACCCCTTTTTTTCTTATCTAAACCATGTATGTTGTTAAAATAAACAGGTAATTAAAAACCAGCTCAGTGCAGCTACCAACTGGACATCTGGATGACCACGACTATCTTAATAATTTTTACAATTCGTAAATATGAGGGGATTTATGTGACAGAATAGAATAATGGGCGAAAAATATAAAGAATAGAGAAAACACGGACTAAAAAAATAAAGAATAGAGAATAATGGGACACTAAAATATAATAAATGGAAAACAATGGGCAAAAATATAAGGAATAGAGAAAAATTGCCTAACAATCATAGAATATAGACATTGAGAACCCCCCCCCATTTAGACCCTTAAATAAGATTTTTGTTTATTTACTAGGAAGTGATCCTTTGACGACTGCAAATCAAGTTTTACATCTTAGAATGGGAGATTATTCTGATTCAGACATACATGGATTTAATATACCACAGAATGATTTCATCATGAAGTGTTCTTACCAGTCAAAAAATTGTTCTTCCGTGTAAGTAAGCACTTTACTTCACTGTGTCCTCCGAATTAGTTTTAACATAAACACCTAATATTTATTTCACTGTGTCCGAATAAGGTTTAACTTACGCTCTTAGTCTTTATTTCACTATTTCCTCCGAATGAGTGTTAACGTCCACCGAATGAGTTTCAACGTAGTTACTTAGTCTTTATTTCAATATGTCCACCGAATGATTTTTAACGTAGATACCTAGTATTAATTTCACTGTGTCCACCGAATGAGTTTTAACGATGGCACTTAGTCTTGATTTCACTGTATCCACCGAATCCGTTTAAACGTAGGCACTTAGTCTTTATGTCACTGTGTCCACCGAATGGGTTTTAATGTAGGCACTTAGTCTTGATTTCACTGTGTCTACAGAATGAGTTTTAACGTAGATACTTAGTCTTTATTTTATTGTCTCCACCAAATATGAGTTTTAACGTAAGTACTTAGTCTTTATGTTACTGTGTCCATCGAATGAGTTTTAAAGTAGGCACTTAGTCTTTATGTCACTGTGTCCATCGAATCAGTTTTAACGTAGGCACTTAATCTTTATGTCACTGTATCCACCGAATCAGTTTTAACGTAGGCATTTAGGCTTTATGTCACTGTGTCCGATAAATGAGTTTTAAAGTAGGCACTTAGTCTTTATGTCACTGTGTTCACCGAATGAGTTTTAACGTAGGCACTTAGTCTTTATGTTACTGTGTCCACCGAATGAGTTTTAACGTAGGTTCTTAGTCTTCATGTCACTGTGTCCTCCGAATCAGTTTTGACATACTAGGTACTTAGTCTTTATGTCACTGTGACCACCGAATCAGTATTAATTTAGGTACTTAGTCTTTATGTCCATGTGTCCACCGAATGATTTCTAACGAATGCACTTACTTTTTATTTCACTGTGTCCACCGAATCAGTTTTAACGTAGGCACTTAATCTTTATGTCACTGTGTCCACCGAATGAGTTTCAACGTAGGCACTTAGTCTTTATTTCACTGTGTCCACCGAATGGGTTTTTTAACGTAGGCACTTAGTCTTTATGTCATTTTGTCCACCGAATGAGTTTTAACGTATGTACTCAGTCTTTATTTCATTTTGTCCACCGAATGAGTTCTATATTTCACTATCTCCACTGAATGAATTCTATATTTCACTATCTCCACTGAATGAGTTTTAACGAAGGCAGCTAGTCTTGATTTCACTGTGTCCACAGAATGAGTTTTAACGTAGGTACTTAGTCTTTATTTTACTCTCTCCACCAAATATGCTTTTTAACGTAGGTACTTAGTCTTTATTTCACTGTGTCCACCGAAAGATTTCTAACGTGGACACTTAGTCTTTATGTCACTGTGTCCACCGAATGACTTTTAACGTAGGCACTTAGTCTTTATGTCACTGTGTTAACCGATTGAGTTTTAACGTAGTCACTTAGTCTTTATTTCATTGTGTTCACCGAATGAGTGCTTTATTTCACTATGTCCACCGAATGAGTTTAACGTAGGCACTAACTCTTTATTTCAATATTTCTACCGAATTAGTTCTTAATTTCACTTTGTCCACAGAATGAATTTTAATATAGGCATTTAGTCTTTATTTCACTGTATCCACCGAATAAGTTTTAATGTAGGCACTTAGTCTTCATTTTTCCTGTGTCCACCGAATGAGTTTTAACGTAGACACTTAGTCTTTATTTCACTGTATCTACCGAATGAGTTTTAACGTAGGTACTTAGTCTTTTTTTCACTGTGTCATCGAGTGAGTTTTAACGTCCACAGAATGAGTTTTAACGTAGGCACTAAGTCTTTATTTTACTGTGTCCACAAAATGTGGGTTTTAACGTAGGCAATTAGTTTTTATTTCACTGTGTCCTCCGAATGAGTCTCAACGTCCACAGAATGAGTTTTAACGCAGGCACTTAGTCTTTTTTTCACTGTATTCACCGAATAAATTTTAACGTAGACACTTAGTCTTTATTTCACTGTGTCGCCGAATGAGTTTTAACGTATGTACTTAGTCTTTATTTCACTGTGTCCTCCGAATGAGCTTGAACGTAGTCACTTCGTCTTTATTTCACTGTGTCCTCCAATTGAGCTTTAATGTAGTCACTTAGTCTTTATTTCAATGTGTCCACCGAATGAGTTTTAGCGTAGGAACTACCTCTTTATTTCACTGTATCCACCGAATGAGTTTTAGCGTAGACACTTAGTCTTTATTTCAATATGTCCACCGAATGAGTTTTAACGTCCACAGAATGAGTTTTAACGCAACAGGTTAAAGATTTCAGTATACTTTTTCATTGTTAAACTATTGAAATGCTGACACTAAGCAGCAACCTGGTATTCTTTAATAGAGAATTGTTCAATATTTCCGGATATCAAGAATCAGTCAAAAAGATTAGAAATAAACGGATCATGTTAAATAACTGTAAAAATAATGATAACTAAACACTTGTTTGTTATATTCACAAACATGCTATCTAGTTTTAAAACAGCTATGATCCTACATCTTGTCGATACTTATATTTTGGTATTTTACAATGTAATGCTTTTCTCAGACTGCTTATGGCGTCGTAGAACAAACTATCATTTGTCTTTTTGTTAGTGGACAAGTTGTTTGCACTTTCCAACTATTTTTTTTACAGTTTGCTCTTATGTTGTGTTGTTACACCATTGTACCGTCAACATATATTTGTTCCGCCTGATAGAAGTTCTCCAGGAAACATTGTTATAAACAACGCCATAATATCTGTTCCTGTTAGAACAAATATTCTATACCCTTTATTCCGGAAGGAACAAATTATGTAATATTTGTTTCATTGGAAAAATATTACAGAATAGTTCTTCCATTTGGAACTTATATTATGAAGGAACGTCCATTTCATGACATTTAAAGTTTAGAAAGGTCTCTGGCGTATCTGATTACGGATTTGTTTATACAAAAAGCCGTGTCTTTGTGCTCTTTCTCTACGTTGAGTTGAGCAAAGTAACGTCATCGCTGTTTCGGAGTTTGAATACGATCTGTAATTGAAACCTCATTTCAAATAGTTTTACATAAAATTCTTCTTGCAGAGAAATACAAAAGGTACGGGACGAGTATTATGGAACATGCTACAAATTTACGCCTGCTTCAAACCCGACAAATCTAGCAGGACCAGCGTATGGTAAGATATATGTCTATTTTGATATATTTTGACAGTTTGTGAGTGAGTTTTTACTAGCGTTATATTTGCGGAAAACGAATGAATTCCCCAGGGGAACAAACTAAAGTGTGTTTTATCCACAAGTGATTTGTGACTAATCGAGCGAAGGCCTTTGGTAATCGAACACACTCTTCAAATACATCGTGCTATGTCTGATAATGTGAAATTTATATTCACATACTCAGAAATAGCATTATTACAGAATACCAAGTTTGTAAATGTTGTAAATAACTGAATGATGAATACTACTTTTTCTTGATTGAAATTGACCTCAACTTATCGGAATCAGGACTTACGGTCATAATTCTTTTGTATGACTCAGAAATGAACCGATCAAAATACAGGATTTGGCGTTTCGAGCATAAATTTTGTGACTCCGAGTACTGAGCAAAGTTTTATGACCGCGAATGGCCATTTGTTCTTAAAAATGTATTTATATAAACATGGTTATACAAAATATCAACTACTTACAAAGGTAAAACAATATTTTATGAACTTTTGTCAGCAGTGATGAAGCCTTAGAGTTGCAAATGTGAGGTCCATGTCAATCAAAAGTAACATGTGGAACAGGATCTGCTTACCCTTCCGGAGCACCTGAGATCACCACAGTTTCGGTGGGATTCGTGTTGCTCAGTCTTTAGTTTTCTATGTTGTGTTTTGTATACTGTTGATTGTCTGTTGGTCTTTTTCTTCTTTAGCCATGACATTGTCAATTTATTTTCGACTTATGAGTTTGAATGTCCCTTTGGTATCTTTCGCCTCTCTTTTACACTATAAAAGTCACAAGTTATGTTAAGTGTTTATGTTGCTTGATTGAACTGTGTAACATGCAAATTTACAATAGTTACACTCTAAAAATCTAAAATAATTTATTATTTGAATATTTGTATGATATATATTTTATTTTAGGACTCGAATTATTGCTAGATGTGCACCAAAATGATTATATACCATTCGTCACAGCAACTGCAGGAGTCAGGTTAGCTATTCACAGTTCACAATACAAAGCACAACTAAAAAGCGAAGGGATTTCTGTGTCAACAAAGTTTGAGACCAATATAGCTTTGAGGCAAGAAAGGTTAATTCGATACGCAGGTTCTGAAAAACTATGCGACTCAGATAACACGTATTCAAGTGTTCTGGTAAGTCAATATGATGGCAATATATTTTGTAAAAAGCCGAGGATTTGAATTAATTCATTATTTTAAATTGTGTGCAAATCAAGGTAGAAAAGATTTCAGGGAACCGAATGAACTTAAAAAGGGTCGATACTGGGTGCGTCTAGATGACTAGAGCAAGCATCTCCAGCTCTGTATGCATTGGCCGCCATGCAAATCAACGCTCAGTCAAAATGTCAGAAATGAGCAATAAAAATACAACAATCGGTATTTACAAAGAAGACGAAAAATCTAAGACCCCGAAAATATGTCGTTAATGAATTAAGACACATATATATCGTATCGGTCAAACAAATTGTGATGGTGACCGTAAAATTTATGTAGAGTAGATTTCAGTCGTTCTTCCATTTAACCCTTCGTGTCAGGAGCACACACACACACCCCTCACCCCTGTTAATGAAGTCCCTGTGGTTTGTGACCATACAGGAGCGTAACTTATCAAGTGAGATATTTTAACGACATACGAAGGGACAGGGATTATGTTACTGCTGAGAAATAATAAGATGACAATTGGAACACGCTAAAATGAGAAACGACAACCATTTCGCAAGCAAGCGTATAAGTTCCGCTACTTTTTGCAATTATAATACACATTATCGGCTTCCAAAATGTCTGATACATCGAATGTATCGCAAATATCGACAAATAAAAAGCGATTTATCGAATTATAAATCTGGCCTCCATAATTTTAAGTCTTCGCTTAAGTTAATATTAGGACGAATACCGAAAAGTTTGTCGTATAGAGAAACACAAATGCTTCTATATGGTTACAATGTAAGTTTATTTGTCCACAGAATCACGTTATTATTGCTATAGGAACGCTGTGATTATTATAGAAAATCGTTTCCAGCTTTTAAAAAAACTATGGGTGTAGAAAAACCTTAGTGTTTTGAATATTTCAACATTTTATAACAGTAAACTTACAGAAAATAAACACAGTTACTACTGATATGTCATGTCAGCACAAAAACATCTGAGCTGGTAACACCCTCGGGGAAGTTGTAAAAAAATTATCAAAGATACCAGGCTTATAATTTGCTACGCCAGACGTGAGTGTCGTCTGCATGAGACTCAAGAGTGGCGTTCGAATCAAAACAGTTTCAGATACATAGTGTTTTGAATATTTCAACATTTGTGTAAACAAATAAAATAAAATAAATAAATAAATGAATAAACAAATAATCTTTATTTCAAGAGGATAATCCCATTAGTTAAAACTAACTAATCTTCCTGGGAGTCCTCAAAATAGTAATAACATATCTATAAAGTAAAATATTATAAATATATATAAACAACAATATACAATTATATATAGATACTAATGAAAAAACATATTAGTTTGAACAATCTATGAAAAATATGTAACATTTTGTTTTAAAAGATACAAGTGTATTACTCATCTTTCTTTCTTGTGGTAAACTGTTCCATATTTGAGAACCAGAATATGTAAATGTTTTTGTCAAAAAATTAGTTTTTGGCTTCGGAAGATTTATCAGTTTTTCATCAGCTGAACGTAAATTATAATGTTGGTTATCTGTAAAATGAAAGTTTTCTTGCAAATAATTTGGAAACATTTTCTTTAATGACTTAAATACAAGTATTGCCTTTTGATATTGAATTCGTTTTTCCACATCTATCCAGTTTACACTATTAAACAATAAACTGGAGGATGTCATTATGTCAGCTTCTACTATAACCCTAGCAGATTTCTTTAATAACTTATTAAGTTTATTTATTCCACTTTCATAACAACTACCCCATATATTACAACAATAATCAAACAATGGCAGAATATAAGCATTAAAATAAATAATACGTATATGCATAAGTAAATACTTTCTTATCTTTTGTAATAAGTTGATTCTATTTGATATTGTACATGACATTTTATTTATTTGCTCATTCCAATTTAGGTTTTTGTCGATATATAAACCAAGAAGTTTTTCACAATCTACATTCTCTATTTGTTCATCTGAAATATTGACATAAAAACAGCTTATTTACAGAAAAAAACATATTAATGATAACTCAGATCAGCGCAAAACTGCTGACTACTGGGCTGGTGATACTCTCGGGAACGCAATGTCCACCAGCAGATTTAATATACGAGGAAATATCAACAAATGAGCTGCGTCGGATATATTTTATAAATTTACTGTTTGCATAAGTATGAATTATTATAAATACTAAGGATTTTCTTATCCCAGACATATAACCTTGGCCGTGTTTGGCACAACTTTTTGGTACTTTTGTCCTCAGTGTTCTTCGACTTTGTACTTGTTTTGGCTTTCGTACTTTTTTTATCTGAGCGTCACTGGTTGTTCTTGTGTGGACGAAACGCGCGTTTTGCGTATTAAATTTTAAACCTGGTACCTTTTGTTAGCTATTATTCGTATGTTTCTCTGTCCTATATGTTCTCCCATTTACTTGTATTGTATTCCTGTCATGTAATGTTGTCATTTTAATGTTATATTTAACATTGCCATAAAAGCGGGAGGTTTGGCTAGCCACAAAACCAGGTTCAACCCACCATTTGTTTCTTAAAATGTCCTGTACCAAGTCAGGAAAATGGCCATTGTTATATTATAGTTCGTTTCTGTGTGTGTTACACTTTAATGTTGTGTTTCTGTTGTGTCGTAGTTCTCCTCTCATATTTGATATGTTTCCCTCAGTTTTAGTTTGTAACCCGGATTTGTTTTTTTCTCAATCGATTTATGAATTTCGAACAGCGGTATACTACTGCTGCCTTTATAAATCGACCTATGCAAATGAATATCAAAACATCTGTTAACTTATTTCGGGTTGAAAAAAATGTCTATGCAAAGTCTGTAACTATTTGAAAATTAAGTTGATATAAGAACCCAACAAAACAGACCAGAATTCATCTTTTATTTCGTATTTGAATATTCCAAAATCAATCAAACACTTATGCATGTACATGTATACGTGCACTTGCATAAGGTCGATTTCTATCCGACACAGCTAAAATTATATAGAGCAAAAAATTCTATCATTTCATACACAATCTCAATTTAAACAAAACAGAGGCACTTGTCCCTGAAAAAAATCCTATATAAAGTATGTTGGTAATATTTTTTTTTCAGAGACATGTGCCTGTGAAAAAAAACATTAAAATATGACCACCTAAATCTTTGGACGCTCTAATTGGTCCGAACATAAATTTAAATTCACCATGGCTACACTTTGGATATGGAAGTTGATTTTTTATTGGTTAATTCGATAATAAAAGGTAACCGGAGTTATTTTGGTATTTAATTACAGCCCTGCATGGAACGGTGCACTGGTACAGCAGTCAGAAAAGATTGCAAATGCCTGAGTAGTTATGACTTTTTATCTTTATCCGTTACGAACATGTGCAAAACAACATCAGGTAAGGTCAACTTTAGCCGTTACGAACATGTGCAAAACAACATCAGGTAAGGTTAACTAGCAATTTCGTTCATTTAAGGCAGCTATAGAAGCTCTGAAATAAGGTATTAATATTTACAATAAGATACAATCAGATCTTTAACTCTGCTCTTGCCTTACAGCTTGTTTGTTGTGAGATGGAGAAGTTAAATTGGAGTCGCCCCTTCGAAAATTTTACGGACGTCATGACGAGTTGATTGATCGTTTTGGAATATTTGTTTCATAGATGACGACAGATAATAGATAAAATTATGTTTCAAATTTCGTCACCACAATATCGTCTTCTTACAAGGTTAGGTTTATTTTCGATTTTTGAGTTTGAATGTCCTTTTGGTATCTTTCGCCTCTCTTTTACACGCACGACAAAACGCTCCATCTTATAAGTAGGAATAAGTATTTAAGTAATTTTATTGAAATAAAAGCAAATTTTGCTTTAACTTCAATTATCGCTATATATTAGATCAAATTTTCCTTTGATCTTGTCTGATAATTTTCTTTCTCAGTGGAGTCGAGTTATATGAAAAATTATCGCTAGAAACTAAGGGCCCACGTGCCCGTTGTCGATGAAATTAACAACGTCGTCATAGGTAAAACAGCGATAAACAGATTATCATTGGTCATCTGAACTTGATTGCTTTTCTCACTTTCGCCGTACCGGCTCAAGCGAGAAAATCAATCTCGTTGAGATAACCAACGATACTCAATAATTACAAGATGAACATATAATTAAATAACAAATAAAATTGACAAGTACGGACAATACAATACAAATATATGTTATGATGGTATATTACTAAACCCCTAACGGGAGGGATTTGCTTGATTTTAATATTATGAAGACATAATCTTTCAATCAGTTTAATTGAGGTCTGGAGCTGGCATGTCAGTAACTGCTAGTAGTCCTTTTTTAATTTGTGCATCATTGTCATTTTGCTTAGTTTCTTTTGTTACCATTTCTGACATCGGACTTGGACTTCTTTTAAACTGAGTTTTACTGTGCGTATTGCTGTGTGTTTGTTTATTCTACATTGGCTAGAGGTATAGGGGAGGGTTGAGATCTCACAAAACATGTTTAGCCCCGCCGCATTTTTGCGCCTGTCCCAAGTCAGGAGCCTTTGGCCTTTGTTAGTCTTGTATGTTTTTTTAATCTTAGTTCATTTAAATGTTTTGAGTTTAGTGTGACGTCCATTTTCACTGAACTAGTACACATTTTTATTTAGGGGCCAGCTGGAGCCCGCCTCCGGGTGCGGGATTTTCTCGCTGTGTTGAAGACCCATTGTTGGCCTTCGGCTGTTTCTGCTCTTTGGTCGGGTTGTTGTCTCTATGACATATTCCCCATTTCCATTCTCAATTTTAAATAGTTTTAATTACGTCTCACCATTATATTACAAAAAATAACATAATACATGAATTATACATTAAGTAATATAAATTATTAATGCCATTCTAAAACGAATTATAAAAGACGAGATCTTAAAATATATATCAATGTACAGCTATGGACAATGGATACAATACAATGAACAACAGAAATTGTGAGGCTGGGGCGTTTAGAGAAAAATCTAGATATCTCCCTTAGAACATTGATACATTTAAACATTAAAAATATTTCATTTCCGAATCGGAGCTCTTGTGGGGCATACAGATACATACATGTTATAAGAATATAAGGATCCAAATAGAGATAGCAATAACATAAACCGTGTTCTGGAACATATCAATGGAAAAGTATTCAAAATAAGTACACAATAACATTCCTACCTATTAGTAATGTTATGTGTTTTGTTTTAAAGACTGATTGAAAATCGAAATAGTAAAAAATAGTAAAACATTAAAGGCATAGAAAAAAAACTATGAAAAGCAATTATTTTGCGAGTATGATAAAATTGCTAAATATATCCTTGTTAAATTTTTAAGAAGATAGTCGGAGACAAGAAAAAAAAACTCGACAATAAAACCTCGCAAACAGGTGAAATACCGAAATTAGAACTCCGTAAAAATGAACACAGTGACGAATTTTCAATGGTATTTTCAAACTCTGTGTAAGATTCCTGCGCATTATTGTTTTAATTTGTAGAGATACAGTGTATGACGGTAACAGAAGCATTATCAGGAAGTGAATTGAATTGTAAATGCAAAATGCCATGCAGGTACGTCGGTGTCAACTTATACGAGGGTCTGGATGGGGGTCCTTCATTTATGTATTCTTTAATTTTTTAAGCCATTTTCTCTATAATTTTCTCTATAATTCTTTATATTTCAGCAACCAATTGTTCTCTATCCTCTACGTGTTTGCCATTTTTTTCTGTGTTGGTCCAATATTCTATATTCTGTAAACCCTATCTAGTCCCTCTTATATTCTAATATCAATTTCATAACGTTGTTCACAGTCCGTCTGCTAGAACTGTTTCGATATAGATTATTTTACATTCTAATATGACGTGCTTCTTTCGCTTTGTAAACAACACCGTGATAAAATTCTCGATATATCTATACTTAGCGCAGACTCAGAGATGTGCATATTGGTGGCTGTTACTATTTACTTCCCACGTAAATCCACATGTATCGTAACATATGTGCAAACACTATGTCGATTTCGTTGTGTCCAAATTGAAATTGAAAAAGAAACTACAGAACCGTTATTCCTATTATATTGCATAACAAAAAGAATTAATGCACAAGAGCTTAAAAAATGTATAAAATCAAAATAGAATAAAATTCCGCCAAATTTCATGAATGATCTTGGCGCATCAACGTCATGTCATAACATGACGTCATACGAATGAAAACTCTAAAGCTAAATGTTTTCCGTTACGTATACGCCCTAAGTTTGGATAATATTGCACTAAAGTGGAGTATTGAGGTAGGTGTTGTTTCATTTTCTATTCCATTGCATTATTCGCACATTTGTGGATTTCAGCAAGTCAACATGGCGGCTTCCTCCTTAGTTACGACATGTCAACTCTGGATTTGACAGTAAATAGTAGCCAACGAAAAATAAATGTTTGGGTTAAGAATTATGAGAATTGAACACATTTTTTCTACTGCTTATTTGAGAAATAATTCATGTAAGACTTAGATTTATATGAAATTTGTAGCTTTTATCTTACAGGGGGTAAAATACACCTTATCGCTATTTGTCCGCCATTACTGGACATCACACAAGTTCCCGTAAAATTTTGACGTCATAATAGAAAATATCTGACGCCACAATGGAAAAGTGATTGTTGTATGGCGTCAAAAGTTCGAGCGGGACTGATTCTCGGGTCAAGCGGGATTAGCGATAAGGTGTATAGAACAGCCATACACACGGCAATCTTACGTTCGCTTCAGTTTTTAAATTACCGTATTTGTCCTATTAGAATCGAAATAACCCAAAATATGGCACCATTAACATTTACAACAGCTTCCATGAATTATTTCTTAAATATGACCTCGATTAGCTACAAAGGTCAATATTTTTTTTTTAAATACATACTATTAGTCAATGCGTGTGTAAAAACTCATCGAAGATGCCAAGCCTTACATTCATACAAGTTTCGGGTACGATTATCGTACTCATTAAGACTCAGAAATAAACCAGTCAAAATGCTGGATTTTGTGTACAAAATTTGTACTCCGGAGTGCTGAGAAAAGTTTTATGACGAAAAGGCCAGGCTTACTATTTGATACGTCAGACGTGCGTTTCGTCTACAACAATGAGAGAAAACCCATGCTGTATAGTTGGCAATAAAAGGCCCCGACATGAAAATCGTGAAACAATTACATTGAGGAAACTATCAACCTAATTTATAACAAAACAATTATGACAGACATGAACCAACGACAACCACTGTAGACACATGTGAGGGGGTAGGAGGGGGTATCATCCCGAATGTCCGGGAAAATAAGAGCTGGATCCCGAATTCCCGAAAATACAGTGTATTTTTGTATTTAGATATAGAAGGATGGTTGTTAAATCCTTTTTTGTACCAGACCGAGACACTGAGTCATAAAATTTATTACAGTCATTCCTTAAATGTCCAACAAATCTATGGCTTCTGCCGTAATTTCTGCTTCTTGCTATGTTTTGTCTATAGTTTTAAAGCCAGCAAATACGAATAAACTCACAAAACTTGTGACTAAACTAAGGGATAAATAAATACGGCCGTCAAATCTGTTGTCTGTTCTCTCTCATCATTGGTAGCGTGAATAAATAATCAATAGTAGAAAATGATACTTTTATTAAACTTCTAGAACAGCCGATATATTTCCATACATGTACAATATTCGAGCAACAATTATTTAATTTACATACGGGGCGGAGCTACTAAAATAACATTCTTTCTCTTGTATTTTTGTACGGACCAAACGGGATTATCTTAATAAATTCTACAATGACAACGTAAATAAATGCAAGGCATACAGCTATCTGCGCTGCTTCTTACCTCTAAACTACGATCCTTACTTGTAATATAAACTGCGAGGCATACAGCTAAATGCGCTGCTTCTCACCTCTAGGAACCCCCGGGCTGAGCCTTGCTGCAAGCCAAATGTAAACACAGCAAAGACTCACGAACGTGACGTTGCACTGGAATTTATTTGAAATTCCCGGAAGTAAATATTCTAAGCAAGAAGAAAAACATAACGTCAAACGCTGACATAAAATATACAAGTCCTCGACTCAAAATGCTTATAATAATACACTTTTGTTACTAAAACAAAAAAGACATATTATTTCTTCCAGTTGAGAGCTCACAAATGAACACTTTTGGGTTCACGATTACAATATTTACCCAACGGTAACGTTCTGAATAATACATGACAAATTTGCGCCATATGTGACGTTATCGATACATCTAATAACATAAAGTAAAACGTACGTTAATTACTCATTCAATATTCTAGAAATAATAAAAATAACTTCTGACAACTCATATAAACTCTCTTAATACAATAATAACAATATGTCTTTACTTGGAAATAACCAATACACACATTTACAACACTGAGAATACATTTCGTCCTCGAAATATGGTCTTGTCAATTCTGACAATACATTTAAAAAATTCTTTTCACAATATTGCTATGTACGTAATACTCTATCATACAAATAAAAAATCTCTAATTTGCCAAAAACAAGCAAATATTACAGCTATCTTAAAACTTAAACTTAACCATACATCAACAAACTACTGCGCCTGTTTATGTCATAAAAACTAATGTCTGTGTTAACAAACTAATGCGCCTGTTAATACTTAAAAGGCAAAATATACATTTTTCTTCATTGTGTCATTATCGAAAATATAAAATAAAAGTCTATTTTTGCATCCAGTTACAGCACTAATACCGTATACTCCATTTAAAGTTCAATCCAAGATTCTCCATTCTATCAGACGCTGGAATTATAAACATCATGAAGCTCAACTTCTTCTAAACACCAGGCTAACGATAAGCCAACAAATGTCCTATCAAGTTCTATACCACAAGGGTACCCCGCGTATAAATTTATACACAATCTTCGATACTGATGTACCATACAAACATAAGTATAAAAATAGGTACAAAAGTACAACTAATAAAAAATAGTCATCAGTATTCCCCGAGAAATATCTAAAATGGTGTAGACTATAGCTCAGCATACCCATGGTGTAACCAAAATGTATATTGCAATCTAGACTAATCATTAGCCTTAACTTAATCTCCGCCCAAACAAAAATGGCTCCTTATAAGTATCCCAACTGCCAATATACACCCACCAAAGTGTTGTAAATGTGTGTATTGGTTATTTCCATTGGACTGGATGGACTTGAGATTGACATATTGTCTATTTCTTCCGTACCTAGGTCTATCAAATTACCTGATTCTATAGTTTCCTTCTGTGAAATTATTACATTCCTTCCCCCCTTTCCAAAATTAGGAGCTGGAATTTTTCTATTTCTAAGATCCATGGTACCCTCCTAGTTATTTCCCCAAAATATGGCACCATTAACATTTACAACAGCTTCCATGAATTATTTCTTAAATATGACCTCGATTAGCTACAAAGGTCAATATTTTTTTTTAAAATACATACTATTAGTCAATGCGTGTGTAAAAACTCATCGAAGATGCCAAGCCTTACATTCATACAAGTTTCGGGTACGATTATCGTACTCATTAAGACTCAGAAATAAACCAGTCAAAATGCTGGATTTTGTGTACAAAATTTGTACTCCGGAGTGCTGAGAAAAGTTTTATGACGAAAAGGCCAGGCTTACTATTTGATACGTCAGACGTGCGTTTCGTCTACATAGGACTCATAGTGGCGATCGAATGAAAGGCCAGATTAAGTACAAAGTTATAGAGCATTGGAAACCGAATATTTAAAAAAAAAACGGCAAAGGCAATCTATGCTCGGGGACTGAAAACCTTAGTCTCTGAGAGTAGTTAACCATTTTGAGTATGTTAACATTTTAATCTATCGATGAGCTTTTAACTCCAAAACTACCAAGTCTTATACACTTTCTACTGTAAAATGTGATTCATTTCTATAGCAACGCCCGTCATATCATTGTGCCTGAATTATACTGTAAATTGTGATTCGTTAATTTTATAGCAACGCCCATCATATCATTGTGGCTGAATATTCATTACATTATTTGAAAAGTCATATGTTTTATTGCTTTACACGTAGAAACATAATACTTAAAACCTTAATATACAGAAATAAGAAGCTGTGGTATGAGTACCAATGAGACAACACTCCATCCAAGTCACAATGTGAAAACAGTTATATATTTATTCTTAGAGTACCAGATACCATGATACATCATATGTTTGATGACTTTGTGATAAAATTTTGAAGACATTTCAAATATTGAATGTTTTGAAGCAAAAAAAAAAGGTCAAAAAAAGCTTTTTCGATGTTAATGTATGTAGAAATTTATATATGATAACAAGTTTTAGAACACAGACACATACACACACAAAAAAAAAGAAGTTTCAAATATTGAATATTTGAAGAAAAAAAAGGTAAAAATATCAAAGATTTTTTGGCAAAAAATTAGAGGAAAAAAGAAAAAAAGTAATTTTCAATATAAAAATAAGGAGATGTGGTATGATTGCCAATGCGACAACTATTCACCAAAGTTCAAATGAAGTGGATGTAAACAATTAAAGGCAGTCGTAAGGCCTTCAACAATGAGAGAAAACCCATGCTGTATAGTTGGCAATAAAAGGCCCCGACATGAAAATCGTGAAACAATTACATTGAGGAAACTAACAACCTAATTTATAACAAAACAATTATGACAGACATGAACCAACGACAACCACTGTAGACACATGTGAGGGGGTAGGAGGGGGTATCATCCCGAATGTCCGGGAAAATAAGAGCTGGATCCCGAATTCCCGAAAATACAGTGTATTTTTGTATTTAGATATAGAAGGATGGTTGTTAAATCCTTTTTTGTACTAGACCGAGACACTGAGTCGGATAATTTCACAAGGTAACAATCCGTAGGACACATTATTCAGATTCCGAATCGACCAGTATTTGCTCTTATTCCTATACACCGCGTGCTTTGCGGAGAAGCAGCAAATATCAATCTTCCAAGTCTTTGATTTGACCCGGTCGGAGTTCAAACCCACGACCTCTCGCACTCGAGACAAACACGCTAACACGAGACCACAACAGTCATCCCTATAAAAAGTAAGTTTCTGGAACAACTTGTTCAAATTTTAGATTCTTTCAAACTATTTGACTGTCGGACAACTGAAACGTATTTCAAAAATCAGGTTAACGTCACGAGACAGAAACCAAAAAAAATGTTAAACGAACGCAACTGGTGATAACTGGCGTAAAGCTGATGAACCTCAACAAGTGGCAAACTTAACTATAGACAGGTGGCGAATTGTTTATCATTCTCTAGTACCGCTATAGATGACAAAGAGTGGCCATTTTCCCCATTTTTGAAATTTCAACATTTTTTGGAAACAAGATGTAACGTTGTACGATTGTTGTTGTATGCTTAACTTTCAGTGGCAAATATTTCATTCATTTTCTGGAAAAATAACACATAAATAAATGGAATGGCAAGGTTCCGAAAAATAGTACTATCAGGATGAAGGGTGAGAATTTGTACTGCATCTAAAAATTAGGTTGGGTATGGGCCAGAATTGTTAGCTTGCAACGGACTACCTACGGACCTTAGAAATAATAGTTCCAATGTTTTTTAAACCTGCAGAGAGTGTGACACTCGTTCTACACGAGGCATCGATTAATATAACGTCCTAAATCTGGACGTGGTTGCATATTTTATCAAAAACGGCAAAACGTATGTCAAACTATTGCAAGGGTTTACTGCTAAGGGTTCTGTAAGATGTCCGTTTTTTTCTTCAAAATACAAGAATACACAACTTATTACAGTGAAACCTGTTAAAATCGAACCTCTTTGGGACTAAAGATTTTGTTAGATTTTAACAGATGTTCGGTTTTATCAGATTCACAACACATAAAATTTGATATGACTGGAATTAGGAACTTGTTTGGTTTAGAAAGGTTTTCGTTTTATGCAAGATTCGGTTCAGACAGGTTTCACTGTATTATCTAAGTAACATGTTAGTTGTATGTATCATTTCAGGCAAATATCATTCAAAAAGAATATTTTTATGACTCAATATCCAGCTGAGAACTATGCAGTGGTGTTAAACTCTGTTATGGAAACAAATGAATCAAGAGAGGCTATAAGGTATGAATTATGGAGAATAACAATAAGATTCACAAAATATATATATAAATATATATTTCCTTCCTATACAAGCTATGTCTCTAAGCATAATCTTCTCAATTTCCTTCAGGAATCATCAATTTAGTTGTACTTGAAAAGAAAAGAACTTGTTTTATTTGTTCCTTAATATGTCGTAGTTTTGATTTTGTGGTTGGAAAATTTCAATTTTATTGAATACTTTAGTTCGTGGTTAAGATTTACCAACAAATTCCACAAAGTTAAGGACCCCACAAATAATAATTAAACCACAGTATTGTGGATTCATTATTATTTGTGGGATACCTAATTTCGTGGATTTTGTTGGTACAGGTGAACCATGAAATTAAATGTTCAACGAAATACAAATTTTCTAAAGACTCGTTTGAAGACTTTGGCAAAACTACGAAATCAAGTATCCATGAAAATGTAAGTTTTCCTCAATCCACAAAAATGGATACCTACCAATGATAATGAATCCATAGTATTTTACACTTCCTATGTAAACAAGACTTAAGGGGTACAGAAAACCTAAGGGAGTTAACTCTTTAACAATCAGCTGAAATCAAGCTTTTCAATGATCAAAATTAATGTTTATCAAACTGTTATGCATCCAACTCCTGTAAATTGTATGGTTCAAATTTCTTGAAAATTTTACATTTTTGTCAACAGGTGAAAGTTAGTATTTTGTCAAAATTTTATGAAAATTAAACGAGCCAAATCTATTTTAGTCAAAGTGTTGGGTATTCCCTTATAAACTGGCACTTTTTGCAGGATATATGAGAATCATTTTCTGTAACTCCATCTTACAGAAATAGGCATACAATTAACAAATGCATGATATTTATCCAAGTAACGTTATATTTTCAGTGACAGTTTGGCTTATGTTAAGATATTTTTCTCTTCGTTGGTAGAAGATGTTATAAAAGAGGAACTTGCATATACAGTAAGTTTTAATAAAATAGTGAGGTAATTTAAATTAAGAATTGCCTTCTTTCCGAAGCTTCTAAATTCTCTATCGGTTTCTTGCGAGGTAGAATTGCCCAATTTGATGTTTTCTGTGTGGTGGTTTGTAGACTACGGGTTTTCCTTTTTTTAAATTTTTATGTCTTTGTCCGTCCGTCCACTAAAGGGTATTCTGTTTGGTCAAACAACTTGTGTTAACATTAAAAAAAAATAAAAAACAGATTAGAATTTCGTTAGCTATCCAATAAAGATCAATAAAACGGCAACCGTTTCAAAGCTAGATTGGTTTATTTATTTGAGAAATATTTGTATTGAATTAAATATAACAATTATTTATTACTGTAACGTGTCACTGTATATATTGGCAGAATGATTTTGCAAACCAGTCATAGGTGTATATTTGAATTTTTTTTCCACAATCAGCCCTACCTGTATCATGAAACATGCAAAGGCAACCCCTGTGTCTGAATACACAGGATACATGCAGGCAAACATAAATAGCTAACCTATTAAAATTCCGGGTACGTCTTGCGTCTTTGCGGGAATCGTGAAGTGCAAACGCAAAATATGCCTTCTTTGAGCTGTTAACGCGGGAACAAGAATGTCTAAAATCAGTCCAATCGCATCGGATTAGAAGATTGCAGGCTTCATATTCATATCACGTTAGCATACATTCGTACGGAATATATTAGTAATATTTGTCGCTGGACGTAAAGCCTTATGAACGACAATATTAAATACTTATGTGTTGTTATTAATCTAATTTAATATTTACAAACATCCAGTGATTGTATTACAAGCCTTAGTTAAAACTAATTAAATAAAATGACTTATCTGATGGTCACCACCCATTTGTTATTAATGTGGTCGTGTTGCTCAGCCTCATATTTTCAGTGTAATGTCATGAGGGTCGAGTTTTTATCAATTTGCGTCTTTTTCTTTTGATCTTGTCTACCTTTTTTGACGTTTGGTGTGTAATCGTCTCCTTGAGATCTCATATTATAATGACTTTTTTTTTGTATGTAATAACCAGTCTGTTTAAAAACACACACACACACACACACACACACACACACACACACACACAAATAAACAAACAGTTCATATAATTTCAGTTCCAATTATTTTCATTATTTCAATACAACAAACAAGCTTAGAACAGCATTATTGTGCCTTGAGGACTGTTCAAACCAATTAATTCACATGAAATATTCAGATTTTTTTTCAGGATGAGAATTTTGTAAGTGATATTGGAGGACAACTAGGTTTATGGGCCGGATTCTCTGTTCTCAGTCTAGCAGAACTCTTAGAACTGGTTGTCATCTTATTCCATGCTTGCTGTTCACGCAAGAAAGCAGAGATTCGTGCCGAATATAAAGACAAAGAATAAATAACCGTTTCAGAACCTAAGGCATTCTGGGTAATATTTGGCCAAAACCAACCAATGACGTTACATTTTTTTTAATTTTTGGCGCGCAAGCAATAAAATTACCCACAATCCCTCTGACTGTAAACCAGATATTTTAATTATGTTTTAAAATTATTTGTTGTGTGTTCACAAACAGAGTTGTACAAAATGTCTAATTTATTAGAAAATAATAAAATGTATCTTTTATAAAGTTGCTTTTCGTCGAATTTTGGTATTTGGTTGACCCTGGAATAGTCTCCCCCTGAAAGTGAGATAAAGGTCAAATACAACCTAAGAGGTGCACTGCCACGAACTCTTCTGCCTCGGCCTGAAACAATAACTTTATATTGATAATACTGCAAGTAAAAATGACAGTAATTGAAACAACATTGTTCTTGAGCATTGAAACGACTGTGGATAACAAACACTTCCCATCTCTTAAGACCAGCCAATTACATCAGCCATCATGTGGGAATAAATTTTTAAAGGTTTTTCGTTAGGTTATTTTGATTATTTCTTATTCATTCCAGGTCCGAACTTCCTCGGGCAAAGATGACCAAAGCTGAATTTTGCGATTAATTTCAGTTCCCTTTTGGTCATATAGCTCATAACATTTCCATGTATTTATACATCCCTGATTTTCATATCTTTGGATTTGAGCGTTCCAAATGAAGGTAAATTCAGATAAGCACTTTGGACGAAAAAAACTTTTAATTATAAAGTGTTATTTTCGTTTCTACTTAATGCAATTTCAATTCTAATTTGGCTGTTGTGTCCCAATTATAGTCAGATTAACCTATTCTGTCTGTTTGGGTTGCTCACCAAATTTTGTCAATATAACGGAACTATAAACAATTGTCATAAAAGTGGGAGGTTTAGCTACCTATAAAACCAGGTTTAATTCAATATTTTCTTTGAAAATGTGAGTACCATGTCAGTAACATGACAATTGTTTCTATTCGTTTCGTTGGTTGATAAAGTCTAACGTTTACAACTATCGGTCACTGTACGGCCTTTAACAATGAGCAAAATCAATACCGCATAATCAGCGGTCTGTTTAAGTTTGTTTTACAATTTTCTATGATTACCACGTAATAACTGAATGATTTTCATAGTGAATTGACATGACTGTGGATAACACTGTATGTGTCTCCCTAACAGCCATTTACATCAGCCATTATGGGGGGATGAATACTTTTTAATGCTTACTAGTATTCGTTATGGTGATTTTACGAAAATATTGTTTTAACACGTAACCATAAGTATTGAATGCTTCTTTTTGTAATTTAATACGGTTGTAAAAGCGTTGATCGTGTGCACAATTTAAGTAAAAATCGCTTCCGGGGTTCATATAAAATGTGTAATGGTCATTTTTTTCTTTCTTCATAAACAATCTGCAATCCTGGGTGAAGTTTGTGATAGAATATAAACGTTATCAAACATTGTCACAACAGTTCCCCATTACCGGAAAACAATAGCATTTCAACAACTTTAATTGCATGCGAAGTCTAGGATTAATGAAATATAGTCGAAACAAAACACATTTTAAAAAATAGAACTACTGAGATAACACGAATGCCTGTGTAACTGTTTAAGTTCTTCTTCTTTCATATACTTCCCACATTCACCATATTTTCAATAGTCTGGCAAAACATTATAGTGTATATGGTTATTTAGTGGTGTTGGTCACTTGAGACTTGAATATCTCAAGTGACTTTACTGTGGAAATATTCGGATGCATTTTGTCCGGTCCTTGACGGTGTTTACGTTGTCTACGGCTTCCAGCCATTCGTTATTTTGTAACACATGTCATGCTTCTTTATTACGCCTCGTTGTAAGCTTTTCCATCCTAGTTCTATGTTGACTGATTACGTAGCGTACAGTTCGTCAAATTTTTGTTCTTCCCTCGCCGGGATTCGAACTCATACTAAGTGCTTGTACTTTTTCGATTTTATCTAGTGTGTGGTTTTGCTGATACGGGTGTCGTATTCCATCTGTGGTCTTACTAAAGTCTTATAAGCATTGTCTTTGAAAACCATTCCTTTATCTATCTACATGACTCACTTCTAATGCCATAATGGTGTTGTTTATGATGGAGTAGGCTGTGTGACACCTTGTCAAATGCTTTTGAGAATTCTAGAACTAACATCTTCCCTCGCCGGGATTCGAACTCATACTAAGTGCTTGTACTTTTTCGATTTTATCTAGTGTGTGGTTTTGCTGATACGGGTGTCGTATTCCATCTGTGGTCTTACTAAAGTCTTATAAGCATTGTCTTTGAAAACCATTCCTTTATCTATCTACATGACTCACTTCTAATGCCATAATGGTGTTGTTTATGATGGAGTAGGCTGTGTGACACCTTGTCAAATGCTTTTGAGAATTCTAGAACTAACATGTCTGTTTGTTTTCCTGATTTTTTGTGATACCGTCAATACATTCAAAGAGCTGTCAGTGTTTCTCATGATATTTTACTCTTGAAGTCATGTTGTAAAGGTTATAGAATGTTATTGTCCTTAGCATGTTTCATGATCTTACTGTTATTATTTTCTGTTTTTTACAACAGATTCATGTTAAGGATATTGACCTGTAGTTTGTTGATAGGTATTTCTCACCTTTCTTTTATGCTGGTGTGACATAAGCTGTTCGTCAGTCAACCAGTATCTGTCCTTGGCATTTATCCATTGAAAAATTGTAAACGATGGTTAGTATAGGGGCCATTTCACTTGAAAGACTTTTCAGTATCAATTTGGTTTGATATTATCTGGTCGAGCAACCTTGTGTTGATTAAGACTCTTCAGTTGTTGTTTTTTTTTCACTCCATTTCTGTGATGATAATATTTCGCTTTTGAATATTGTTGTGTTCGATCTGTCCTTAGTTTTTATCTATCGAACTATCTTTTACCGATCGAACAGCGAGCGGAGAAGAAGATAGATTGGAGTTGATCATTTAGTGTTTTGTTTTATTTATGGGATCGGTTTCTAATTTGCCATTTCTTCTTAGTGGTGCTACTTCGTTTTTATCGCTTTTCTTATATGTGATCATATGTAGGTCCAGAATGTTTTATCTTTTTTCATTATCTTCTTGGGTTATATATCCAATAAGCTTGTCAGTAGCATGGTTTGATTTCTTTTTCGGTTACTTCGCCTCATATTTTTTGTTTTTTTTTGTATTTCATGGTTTATCATGGGTTTTTGTCTTGCATATTTAGTAAGGTAAATGTTGCTTTGTACTTTTAATGCCTTCCTTGGACACATTCCAGAGAGTATTGGTGTTTGTCTTTTTTTCAGACTTTACAGTAAATTCATATCTTCTTTTATGCTGTCCCATTTTGCTCTTCTATGCATTTGGATTTTTCTTGGTTTTTGGTTGAAAGTCTTTAGATAAAGCGATTTGCTCCATTTAAGATCATCAGTGACTAATGAAGGTGTGAAGGTCAGATGAACCCTGTAAGATAGACGTTTTCAGCTTACAATCTTTCTATACGCAAAATGCATGATTTAGAATTACTTAAAATATCTGAGAAACGGACAACTATGCCCAACAAAGCAACTGCCAAGTAAATGAGATCGGAGTCGGATTAACCCAGCCAGACCGACATGCACACCTTATAAGCATATTTACACAGAATATAGTTGACATATCACTGATAAAACTGAGAAGCGGACCAAATGTTGATCGATAGAGGTGAGATCAACCCTGTGGGTGACGGACAAAATTACCCTGCAGTGACTTTAAAGCAATCATAGTTGTCTTAATACCCGAACAACTCAAGCAGCGTTAACCAGTCATGAAGTCAAAGACAGTGGCTATTTGCCACACTGAAGAGTCGGACCAAAAGGCTGATACAATAATACAATACGTGAATTATCCAGCTCTTCTACCTTCTGAATATTAGCTTATAGAAAGATTAAGTCACAGCAAACCTGTCCAGAATTTTTCATCATTCATCGCAAGAAAGACAATAATCAATCAAAATCCTTAAACCTATGTCTTGAAGCATGTAAAAGTGTCAAATATTAGTTTAAATGATTAACTGATGTTTGGTTAACGTTCAGTGGCAACTATAAGATTCATATTAGAGATAATCACATATTTACAGATATCAATACACCATGACTTGTACTTGACAGTCATGGATTAATGAACATGCTAGCTCCCAAGGCAAGTCCCCTGGAAGCCATACAAATGTATAACTCTACATGGGCACATTTATCCGGACTCCAAGCAGACCCGTCACTTCTAAATGGTTTGTTGTTGCTTGGGGAGAAGCAGCTAATAAAACCTTTTCAAGTCTTTGGTTCGACCTAATCGATGATTCAACCCACAAGGTTAATGATATTACTAGAGCCTCCTCATGGGGTTTTTGATTATGTGATTACTTGGCCGTTTTTATAGTGATTATTTGATTATTTGATAGTCTAGGACTGTATTTTTGATTATTTGATTATCTTGTTTAAAAAAATAATTAATGATTATGCGATTATATTGGCAAACAAATTGTGATTATGTGATTATTTGGACACCCCCCATGAGGGGCCTCACTAGAAGACAGGAGATGAGATTGAACACTTGGAAGTCTGACAGATAAATGTGCATGTTCATATATGTACCTGAAACGTTTAGGGGGGCCTTGGTGGCCGAAGTAGTTCACCTTCTATATTGCCAGCATGTCAATACTGAGGTTGTAAGTTCCATCCCTGCACGTGGACGGTGGGTTTGAATCCTATCTTAGTTTAGTAGGATTGCCTCCTGAAGGTAGGTGGTTCTTTCGCCTCCTCAAATAACTAGAGGCTCTAAAGATCCTGTGTCGCTCACCTTGGTCTATGTGCATATTAAACAAAGGACACAGATGGATTCATGACAAAATTGTGTTTTGGTGATGGTGATGTGTTTGTAGATCTTAATTTACTGAACATTCTTGCTCCTTACTATTATCTCTATCTATAATGAACTTGGCCCGGTAGTTACAGTGGAAAATACTTTGTAAAAATTTACAAAAATTTACAAAATTTATGAAAATTGTAAAAAATTGACTATAAAGGGCAATAACTCCTTAAGGTCATTTTTGGTCATGTTGCCTTATTTGTAGATCTAACTTTGCTGTACATTATTGCTGTTTACAGTTTATCTCTATCTATAATAATATTCAAGATAATAACCAAAAGCTGCAAAATTTTCTTAAAATTACCAATTCAGGGGAAGCAACCCAACAACGTGTTGCCTGATTGGTCTGAAAATTTCAGGGCAGATAGATCTTGACCTAATGAACAATTTTATCCTCATCAGATTTGCTCTAAATGCTTTGGTTTCAGAGATATGAGCCAAAAACTGCATTTTACCCTATGTACTATTTTTTAGCCATGTCGGCCATCTTGGTTCGCGGGCGGGGTCATCGGACACATTTTTTAAACTAGAAACCCTAATGATGATTGTGGACAAGTTTGGTTAAATTTGTCTTAGTAGTTTCAGAGGAGAAGATTTTTGTAAAAGATTACAAAAATTTACGAAAAATGGTTAAAAATTGACTATAAAGGGCAATAACTCCTTAAGGGGTCAACTGACCATTTTGGTCATGTTGACTTATTTGTAGATCTTACTTTGCTGTTTACAGTTTATCTCTATCTATAATAATATTCAAGATAATAACCAATAAAATGCTCTGCAGGGCACAGCTTGATACGACCGCAAAGGTCGAACTATGAATAGTTGGGGCAAGTATGGACACAACATTCAAGCTTGATACAGCTCTGAATTTGGATTGTGATTAAATATTTGACACAGCATAGGTTTCTGACACAGAATGAATGTTGTCTAAGAACTTAAAAATTTAAAATTGGACATTCACCTATTATGGTCCAATATCCAATATCTAAATACATGGTTAGATTCAGCATATCAAAGAACCCCAAGAATTCAATTTTTGATGAAATCAAACAAAGTTTAATTTTGGACCCTTTTGACCTCAATGTGGACAAAGTTGATAACGGGGCCCAAAAATCAAAAATCTAAATACATGGTTAGATTCAGCATATCAAAGAACCCCATATATTCAATTTTTGTTGAAATCAAACAAAGTTTAATTTTGGACCCCGATTTGGACCAACTTGAAAACTGGGCCCATAATCAAAAATCTAAATACATGTTTAGATTCAGCATATCAAAGAACCCTTAGAATTCAATTTTTGTTAAAATCAAACTTAGTTTAATTTTGGACCCTTTGGACCTTAATGTAGACCAATTTGAAAACGGAACCAAAAATTAAGAATCTAAATACACGGTTAGATTCGGCATATCAAAGAACCCCAATAATTCAATTTTTGATGAAATCAAACAAAGTTTAATTTTGGACCCTTTGGACCTCAATGTGGACCAATTTAAAAACGGGGCCCAAAATCCAAAAACTTAATACACGGTTAGAATCAGCATATTAAAGAACCCCAAGAATTCAAGAATAAAACCCCATTGAAATTGGTCAAGAAATAAGCAATTTATACGAACTATCTTCTTTTGCACAATACTGTGCAATTGAATATTTCTTGCTATTGCGCAATACTGCACAATTGACAATTTCTTGCTATTGCGCAATATTGTGCTATTGGATATTTCTTGCTATTGCGCAATACTGTGCAATTGAAGATTTCTTGCTATTGCGCAATACTGTGCAATTGAAGATTTCTTGCTATTGTGCAATACTGTGCAATTGAAAATTTCTTGCTATTGCCCAATACTTATTATATAATAATTTACACATCCTGTTTGGTGTGTATCTCCTACCATATCATTATTATTTGCTTTTAAATATAAATCAGAAATAACCAACTTAAAATGGAAAATTTTAAAAGAAAAAAAAAGGAAAAAAAGAAAAAAAAGGAAAAAAAAAAAATCTCCCCCCCCCCCCAAATTTTTTGAACCCCCTTATGATTCATCACCCCCAAACTCAATCCCAGCCTTCACTTTGTGGTATGGTACCTTGCAGTACAATTTCAGAAAGATCCATACACTTGAACACAAGTTATTGTCTGAAAACTAGAAAAATGTGTTTTTTGGCCCCTTTTTGGCCCCCAATTCCTAAACGTTTTGGGCAATTACCCCCAAACTCAATTCCAGCTTTCCCTTTGTGATATGGAACCTTGTAGTACAATTTCAGAAATATCCAAACACTTACACACAAGTTATTGTCATGAAACTAGAAAAATGCTTGTTTTTTGCCCCTCTTTTGGCCCCTAATTCCTAAAATTTTGAGGCAATTACCCCCAAAATCAATCCCAGCATTCCCTGTATGATATGGAACCTTCTGGTACAATTTCAGAGAGATCCATACACTTGAACACAAGTTATTGTCTAGAAACTAGAAAAATGCTTATTTTTGGCCCCTTTTTGGCCCCTTATTCCTAAACGTTTCGGGCAATTACCCCCAAACTCAATTCCAGCTTTCCCTTTGTGATATGGAACCTTTTAGTACAATTTCAGAAAGATCCATACACTTTCACACAAGTTATTGTCATGAAACTAGAAAAATGCTTGTTTTTTGCCCCTAATTCCTAATATTTTGAGGCAATTACCCCCAAAATCAATCCCAGCATTCCCTTTGTGATATGGAATCTTGTGGTACAATGTCCGAGAGATCCATACACTAACACACAAGTTATGTCTGGAAGTTACAAAAATGCTTATTTTTGGCACCTTTTTGGCCCCTAATTCCTTAACTGTTGGTACCAAAACCCCCAAAATCAATCCCAACATTCCTTTTGTGGTATTGAACCTTATGGTAAAATTTCATAGAGATCCATTCACTTAAACTAAAGTTAGAGTGCGAAAACCAATGTGTCTTCGGAAGACGCCGGACGACGACGATGACGCCAACGTCATACCAATATACGACCGCAAAAATTTTGCGGTCGTATAAAAACGGCAAAATTTCCTTAAAATTACCAATTCAGGGGCAGCAACCCAACAACGGGTTGTCCGATTCATCTGAAAATTTCAGGGCAGATAGATCTTGACCTGATAAATAATTTTACCCCGTTAGATTTGCTCTAAATGCTTTGGTTTCAGAGATATTAGCCAAAATCTACATTTTACCCCTATGTTCTATTTTTAGCCATGGCGGCCATCTTGGTTGGTTGGCCGGGTCACCGGACACATTTTTTAAACTAGATACCCCAATGATGATTGTGGCCAAGTTTTGTCAAATTTGGCCCAGTAGTTTCAGAGGAGAAGATTTTTGTAAAAGTTAACGACGACGGACGCCAAGTGATGAGAAAAGCTCACTTGGCCCTTTTGGCCAGGTGAGCTAAAAACTGCACGCCACAAAACAGCCAATAATGCTGAAAGTGGTGTTAAACACCAAAATCTATCAACCAATCAAACGTTCAGGAAACTTTTGGCATAAATCATAAGACAGGCTGTTAATTTAGAGTACGATTTTATTGCTGTATGATTATATAATATACAAATGATCATAGCATAACTATTTATAACGGACATAAATTTTGACAAGTTCCATACTGAAAAACAAGTAAATTATGGCTCAATGTAATTATATCATACTGTAAACTAGTTGCAAAAACTACTTTGAATATTTGACTTGGTGCATTTATTTTCACATTTTTCTTTGAAAGGAGTATTTTTTGTGAAACTAAGTACATGACAGAAATGTTCAAATACCATTATGGTTACAAATCTGAGTCATCCTCATGAATTCAAATATGTGCCAATTTTTTTTGAATATACATCAATCATGAAAATAATTACTCATAAGAGTAGAGCTAGCCAATTAAGGGCATGGTCATCATTCTCTAAGATAAAAGGTTGGAGTTCATAATCATCATTCCCCAAGTTGGAAAGTCAGAGTTTATAAAAACTAACTTGTCTCCTACTTTGTAAAATAATGGATTATACTTAGAAAATACATCTATAAGAGAAAACTTGTACATGTGATTTTGCTGAAATAATGATATTATAAATATTTGACTGAAACAAATTTGTCTCAATTTTTCCATTTGTTCCTGGAAAAACAGAATTAACATAATTTTCCTCATGAGACAGTTTCAATCCTGTTTTAGGTATAAAAATTCAAAAATAAAAGTGCTTTGGTTATTTATTTCTATTTTATTTGTGCATAAAATATACTATTAGTGAGGTGGGGAAAAAAATAATTCCACAATGATAGAAAATTGAAGATGAGGAGTATTTTGTTAAATGTGTATAAAATAAGCAGTTCTATGTGAATTTCTTTTAATATTAAAGCAAGATATAATTTACCTAACACAACACTACAGAGTTTCTGTATGGTTATTGAATGACTTGCTGTAACACAAATTAGGTTTCTTTCTCATGTTTCATAGCCATATATAGGCTATAGGAGAGTTTTCAATGTGGAGGTTGAAAATGTAGTATCACATGACATTTTTTCTATGCATCTGTGTAGAGTTTCACGCGTTGAATTTAACAAATGGAATGATTTCAACAAACTTCCACTTAATATACTCAGCAACTTTTCTATTTGAATATCTAACCCTGGTGAAAACCTATGATTAGGAGAAATTACCCATACATTGATATTTCATTCTAAATTACCCATACGTTGATATTTCATTCTTTTGATGTTTTGTTGGTCCCAACACTGCATAGATTTCTGAGGTGACCTGTTTGTGTAAAATGGGATGACTCAGTAAAAACAGCCATCTCAGAACTCATATCTTATTTGTCTTTTCATACTGATTTCTTATTAGAGCATACATTACAGTTCTGGGAAATTTAACCTTCCTTTGTGCCACTTCTATCTTTTTCGAACACAGTCTGAAGTTGGAAAGATTCCAATAGGAATATTTTAATGTAACCTTGAAACTCTGAGATAAGCTGTCATTATTGAACTAACAAGTCTATGGTCATAAAAACATTTACATCACCTTTCTGTAGGAATTTAACTCAATATGAGTTGAAATAAACTATAACTAGTTTCACTCTTCTCATATTAGAAATATCTATTCACATCTATTCAAATACTAAAAAACCCAGACAGTTCAGCCAGAGAAAATCGCACAACTCACTGCTCAACAAACATATTTAAGACACAGAGATGTAATGTGAAGATTACAAACTAAAAGTAACAATATTAGCTCTTTTTGTGCTTGGGGGAAAAAATGCTGTCAGGAAACAGTATGAAATTTTTTTCAAGCAATCAAATCATCCACAGATGTCTGGAAATAACACAACAGTTATTTGTTTGTACAACTTTAAAAAAATCTAATACCAATACTATTTCAATGAAATGAGGGCAACTTGATATTGGTATAGAAAAGTGTGTAAAATAATTTCTTTAAGGTTTTCAAAGTATAAATTCCCTTTTATTTCCAACTAGTTCCTTAATCAAATTGAATGTGATGCCTGAATGACTTAAAATTGATATCTTCAGTTAATCACTGTTAATGTTTTAAAAATTGTGAGCTTAATAACTAAAAGTATATTATTTATATCAAAAGTTCCTTACAGTAAAGAAAATAACTGAGAGAAGGTTTACATTTCAAGTTCCTTCTGTCACAGAAATAATAGGTGTATTTTAATTACAACTTTAAATAAAAATGAACATTTCAGAATTTCATTTTAACAAAGAAAATCTACAAGTTCATGTATATAAGACATATTTTAAATTCATTCATGCTTTTTTTCAATATTTTGCAAAGGTAGATTCCTATTCAAGTACATAAATTCTACTCAATTCTGACTGCAAACAAATAAAACTATTATTTGAATGACATAGATTGAATGTTTATGAACCAAACTGAAAGAAATAGCTGCAACTATTTTTAGTTTAACAATTAAGCAAAAATCTATATAAAAAACACTTAACACAAGACTGGAACATAGCAATCAAAACCTGAGAACATATAAATCAAAAATATATATTGTTCCTCCACATTGTAAGCACGTCATATACAAAAATAATCATTTTCACAGTCTATATCTAATCTGTACAAGGGAAACTATATTTACAAATAAATATTAACATACAAGCCTTGGAATGCTCAGAAAAAGTCATGACTTATCAATAGTTTATAAAAAGAACCTATAAGATACTAAAAATTTCTAATTTTATCAAATTATAACTATTACAATTATGTATATGGAATTTGTTTGAGTTTTCATCACAGAATGGTGTACATTCAAGATATATATGTTGCTCAGCACATCATCCAATTATATTAATAGCTCAAAGGTTACATTTTTCCATATATCTCGCAGAAATTTGTTTTTCAGAAATTTTACCGATTTCAATAAAATTACAAATATTGAAAACATTAAAATAAAAAAAAGAACAGAAGCTAGTCCATGTTATTCAAAAATATAAAAATAAGAAGATTTGGTATGATTGCCAATGAGAACTATCCACCAGAAACCCCAAAAAATTTTGGACAAACTTATAATCATGAACAAGTCATATGATCTATGAGGTCAAAATCAAAAAGTCCAAAATATTTATCAACTTTGATTTCAAGAGACTGACTCAAAATTATTATCTAACATAATTTATGTTTTCAGCTAAACAAATGATTTCAGCACAAATGTTAAAAGGTTTCAACATACAAATATAAGCTGGTTGCTTAAGACTATATATTTTTATATTAAAGTGGGTGCGTGGAACTTGGACATGCAGTAATTTAATAGATATCTGGACTAAAAGTAATGATCCTATTGCCAAGTAATCTGAACATAAGAACATTTCTGAAAAAAGTTTACTTTTATTCTGTCTCATTTTTATTAATCTGCATTTGGATAAAGTGAATCAATGCCTTACTTTGGAAAAAAAAGTGGTTGGGCAACACTTCATTAGTCTGGGAAAAAAATCAATGACCGTCTCTCTGAAAACTTCCTACAAAATAAGCATACCAAACAACAACATTTGTACAGACACTTAAAGCCATTTTCAACAACAGTAACATCCAGGGGAAAAACAAACAAATCTGTCACAGAGTTCATAGCAATCAACAAAAACAAAGCACTTTTTATTTGCATAAATGCATAAATGAATGACAAAAACAATAACAAATCTAAGTCTACTTGAAAAGTTTTGCAATACTTGATTTTCTGCTAGTAAAAATTCTAAAAATGTTTTCTTAGGATCTGAGTTCCACCTACTGTTGATACATAGTTATCTCTCTTTGTTATAACTTTTATATTTACTATCTCCTATGAACTAAGTTTATATAAAAAATGATATACTCAAAACTACAGCTGACATCTATTTCATTTGGTATTCAAAATACAAATATGGCTATATGAAGTATACTAATGGTTTTCCGATTCCCCTGCAACAGGAACAAAATTTGCCTTCATTTCAAGCCAATGAATAACGGAAGACAAACCAAAATCATTAATTCTGTGATGGAAGCTTTCATTCCCCAGTCTTTTTTATTGAAAATTGCTAACTGGGAATAAAATCATGCAGACGCCATGGAACACTGGCTTCTTGAAAGATATTGTCCTGTCAGAGAAAAAGTTCATGTATGATCATGATGATTCATGTCAATTTTAAGTCTAGTAATAAAAAAAACTTGTTTTAAATTAGCTATGGAAAACTCTTTTAAAATCAGAAATGAGAAAATGAGCGAATCAAATTTGAATGGCTAATAAAACATTTGAAGGCTTCTCCATGATGTATATCCTCTTACAGTTCACGGGATGAAATGACACTTGAGTATCTAAGAGCCTTTGACCAGCATTTACTGACTATAAAAATAACATTTCCGAATCTTACAAAAAAAAAATCAAGTATTGAAATCTTTAATATGATAAAATTGCATGTATGATGTATTTGGCAGTTATGGGAATTTCATGATCAGCAGCAAAATTTGATCTGAAATATTTCCTTGTTCATTAGTAAAAAAATCTATTGCTATACCAGTTTTTAAAATATAGTTTTTTTTTTTAACCCAACTGAAAAAAAAAAGTATTTTTGATTAAAAAGCATTTAATTTTAAAGCAAAATTTTTTCATAATATTTAATTCTAAATGTTTAAACTGTTTCACAGTTAAAATGCCTGTGTAAGTCATGCATATCCAATATATATAAAGTAGTGCTTAATATATATATTTTTTGCCAGCATTTTAATAAATATACATTGCTTAAATACAAAATGTCTTAAAAAATAGAGAAATGTTAAAACACTAAATCTTAACCAGCAGCCATTTTGATTTTAACTGTCGTCTGCAGCATTAATTATCATCAGCCTGGTCGACAGCATTTTCTTTGTCGACCTTATCGTGACCTAATGTTTCATCATTTTCTATTACCCCACTACTGTTTGCTGCCTGTTCAAGGGAAAGAACTCTTTCCATTAAATCCTGAATAGTTTTGTTCTGTTCTCCAATTACTTTCTTTAACTGTTGGATTTCCTGATTGACTGCTGGTGATTTCTGAAAAAGGGGGGAAACAATATAAAACAGATGTATTAAAATATACAAAAAATAAAAATTACACACAATTATAGCCTTCTGTTCAACTAACCATGAGATAAAATAGACCTATAGTAGTACTAACCAAGGCCAACAACTCGTGCTAAAATTGATTTTGGTTTTGCCAATTTATAAAGACTGTAGATATAAAATTTAATATACGTTTTAATTGAAAAAAAAAATTAAAATATTTGAATCACCTGTATATCCAATGATGTAATAAAAAAAAACTAAAGACAAATATTATAGGGTTATAGCATGAATAATGGGGATAATTGTCCTGAGTAGATTATTATTTTTGTACAAGCTTACAAGTGCAATTTCTTTTAAACGAGGGATAACATTCAACAGAAGTAAAAAATATAATCCTTTTTATCATATGGTAAATCTTGCAGGACAAGAACATCATGCTTACTTCGGGAGAACGTCACCATTTTGTCGCGAGTGACTTCTTGCAATATCCACTACTACTGCACACTAGATTTTGATTACGTTCTACATGGAATTCAGAAGTTAATGTACAACACTCTGTTTTATAATATTTTCCATTCTACAAACATCTTACTCTTCTAAACTGTAAAATTAACACCTAAGACATTTCTTATTCTGCTACCAATTAAAACGTGCAAGCCAAACTTCACTAACAATCAGAATTTTGGAACACTAGCTAAGATATGTTTCTATGTATCATGCATGTCTTGCTCAAAACTTTCATTTAAAAAATATAAGGATATATCAAATTTAGTAAGCAGAATTTAACCTCAATCATAGTGTTGATACAGTCTAGAAATTTGTTCACCGGCAACTATAGCACAACCATGCTGAAAGGAGTGTCTGTTTGAGGATGCAGGATGTATAAATATGCAGCCACCTCTCATCAAAATGGAGTGAAACCCTATGCCAGGAGAGTGTCTTATCTCTCTGTACATAAAAAAATCCTAGCAATAACTCTTTTCTAAGAGGCCATAGATGACCTGTTGCAAGGGAAATTTCCCGCTACCAGTAAAGTCCTGTGTTTCTAGTGGAAATCGAAATTACCAATAAACCCCCTAATTACTGTATTCGGGCTTGTATAGTTTGCACTGGAACATTGTCCTCATCCCCCTTCTCACCATGAGAATTCAGGTAAAAAACACTTTTTGTAACTATTCGAAAACGTCTAATGAAACTCCGATAATTTCAAATCGTGTGTGATTGTTCGCGGTATTTTCATGGAAAAACCTGTTTTCCATCACCAAATAGAAGTTGACAATGATTGTAATTGATCTTAGAACACTTCAAGAGTGTTAAAATAAGTCAAAATCACAAAAAAAAAAAACAATTGAGAAACTTGTGTTTGTTAAAACTGGAAGTTAGAATAGCATGTGTAAATGAAAGTAAATACGGTGAGAGTGTACGCAAAATCCGTACTTAATAGATATCACTAGAATACTACTTTGAAAGTAGAACAGTTCCATCCTTATGTAAAATAATGTTTAACATATCCATCACATAAATGTTTGAAGGATCTCAAGCTTAAACTAAACACATGCGTCAGTATGAAACACCAAAACGGAACAAATAACCAATTACGTTTTGTAGCTTATACATCGTAATGCATAAGCTGGTTCCCAGCTGACTTGTACACTTTTTTGTTCCATAAAAATTCAAGCAGATTCCAGTTTATTTTATGCAATGCAGTGAAAAACCAGAAATTTGTAGTGAAGCATTTAATTTCGTAATTTATCAGTTTATATAAGATATTGAATAAAAATTGCATATTAATATGGATTAGGTAAATTATTACTTTTGAAAATGATAAGAGCGCCCTCTACAATTTCAATAACAAACAAACCTCGCGAAATCGGAATTTTTCTCTTATTTCTTGCTTATCGTACTCTATAATCCAAACCCCTGTATGGCAGGTTCAATTTTGGAGAATAAAAAACAGTGGAATATACAAGCCTGAATTCGGTAGCTTATTTTTTGAATTTTTAATTATCCTCATTTGGCATGAAATATTTGCAAATGGACTTTAACCATACAACAAAAGATAAACAATTTAATAGTTCCAAAAAAAATTTCATAAAAGAAAGATAACAAAGGAAAGGACAAAGTGCTATGTACATATTTTTTTTTAACATATTCATATAAATTCTAATAAACAATTATTGTCTAACTTCTGTAGCATAAATAATTGATCATACTGAATTGCAAAAACTTCTACTGTGGATTCGTTTATTTTCATGGATAGAGGAAAAAGATATTTTTGTGGATATTTCATTTTCGTGGCTTTGTCAAATTCCGTATACAAGCCTATCAAAAATGTTTTCTTTGTTGAACATTTAGATTCATTGTTGACCTATACCCACAAAATGCACGAACATTAGTATCCCACAAATAAAAAAATGAGTATGCAGTATATCAGAAATTCTAGACAAGTTCTGCTTCAAAATAATAAAGCAATATTCATGTATGTAGGTCAAAGCTGAAAACAATTTCATTCATATAAATATGCATGTGAACTTTAAGCTGAAAAATATGCATGTGAAATCTAACCTGCCATCTCTGAAACAAAAGAAGGAACAATCTATTAATAACTATTCTACTCCTCAACCGTTAAACTATTCTACTCCTCAACCGTTTAACTATTCTACTACACAATCGTAAAACCAAACACCAAATCTAACATTAGGTATAGGCCACAACAAACAAACCAAAACTGTCATTAGAATGTTATGGAACATTCGTGTCTTGTAAAAAAAAAGTTTTTAAATTGTTCCTTTTTTGATACACAATTTCTGTTAAGGCACAGTCATGACAGTACTTCTAATGGACAGTCAATTTGTTTCGTGTGGCCATATATTACTGTGTAGGTTTTGACAAACTAAAATGAAACTAAAATCTAACAGGGCTTTTCAAATATAATCTAAAAATAAATATACTTTGTTAGGCATCTCTTTTACTATTTATTTCCTATATAAATATTTTAAGGTGCAAAGTATTATATTGCTTGTGTACACAAATCAACCATAGGCATAGCAGGTGGAACAGTATGTGTGAACCAAAAACCATGTGCATGTTCTTTAACTGTGAAATTCTGTAAAAGGTACCAGTTCAGTCTGGTTTACAGATAGGAAGTGTGAAATACTGTGGATTAATTATTATTGGTAGGTACCAATTTTCGTTGATTGAGGAAAATTTACATTTTCGTGGATACTTGATTTTGTACTTTTGCCAAAGTCTGCATACAAGCCTTTAGAAAATTTGTAATTTGTTGAACATTTAAATTCATGGTTCTCCTATACCAACGAAATTCACGAAATTTGGTATTCCACAAATAATAATGAATCCACAGTACTGTGGAATAGTGTGGATTCATTATTATTGGTGGGGTCCCAATCTTTGTGGATTGTATTGGTAAATCTTTACCACGAACTTGAGTATTCAATAACATTGAAATCTTCCAACCACAAAATCAAGTATCCACGTAAAAAGGTACCAATGAAAATAAACAAATCCACAGTATCTGACTGGTACCATGAGCAATGACTGGTACCATGAGCGATCTGTGTATACAAGGTTAGCTGCTGCAATGCATAGAAAAAGCAAAGAATTTCAGGCATAAAAGCAAAGAAGCATTGCCAAGTATATCTAATATAAAATCAGTGAAAAACATACTATTAATACAACATCAAATGAATCTGAAAATGCCCTCATTAAAAAACAGTGAAAATGAACAAAATATTTGGAAGCTTTCACATAATTTGCTTGCTTGTTCATTAAAATTGGTTTAAAAAAAAACGTAAATTACAAAAATATGCAATATCATTCTAAATCTTAATTTATAAGCACAGATATGCTATTTACTGCCTTCAAAATATCTATAATACACAAAAACTTGAAACAAAATATTCAGACACAAAAAATAATATATACTTCCTCTCATAAAAGTATGAGTCCCTTCGTTAACAACGAAAAAAAATTAAAAAATGTTATTCATGCAATTTCTATTATTTTCAAATAAATGTGTTATTACATTTTATTCATTTTCACTGCTTAATTTTCTAGAATACTAAAAAAAGAAAACAAATTCATGCAAAGCACTCCAACTAAAAAATGATAATACACAACACACCAAAATAGAAATATGTATACATTTTAGCACTTTTCTCCGTTTTCTTCTTCTTCTGTGGAATTTCCTTCATATTGAGCTAATTTTTCTTCTAATGTCTTTATGCGTTTTTCATGTGCTTTAACTATTAATTTGAGTTTCCGTATGTCTTCAAGAATACCTTGTGGATCAAATCCCTGTTATACACAAATAAAATACAAGATATGCATATACATTATTAAAAGTCATGCAAAAGTAGAAAGACAGAAATGAGATTTGAAATTATGATTTAGCATTGCCTAGCTTAATTTTTCATTCTATTCTCAAATAATTTTCTTAATCTTATTGTTCAACAAAATGCTTCGGACTTTGAAGAAACAAGGGGATAAAGTATACCCCCACTAGTTATTATTAATTTGATGAATAAACCATGCTCATCAGGTATTATAAAAATTCAAAGTATTGTAAAACAGGAAGTGACTGCCTGGCAGATCTGATAATCACTTCCACAACACACAATATATTTTAACTCAACATTTTAAGGTTCCTGTTGAGAAATAAGCAACGAAAAAAGGCAAACATATTAACAATTACAATCTATCAAATAATTCTTAACTGGACTTTTTTAACCCCCTTTTCTCCCTATGCAATCATTTTAATGATTTTACAATTTTTGAACCCCTCCCTCTGACAGTTAATTGTTTAGAGAGCACCATAGACATGATAGATATTAATACTTCAGAAAGTTACATCAAAATGCAAGCTTTAGAACAGGCTTTTAAGCTATTAGCATCGAAAGCATTGACCATTAATCTTTTAGTTGATGTAAGCTTGATGGTCAATATAGTTACATGCTCAATTGAGATATTTGATCCTGTTTATTGTCTGAATCGACGACAAAAGGACTAGACAAAAGATTTCAACTTTAATATCTTCTCTATACAAAAATATCAACAATGCATCATGTTTGGTCACACATTTATTTCATTTTTCTATCTACTAGGTAACTTCATAGAGCAATGGGTACACATTAATTCCATTTTTCTATCTACTTGGTAACTTCATAAAGTAAAAGGTGATTTTCGAATATACATATGTATATAGACCTATGAATGATCTTTTTAATAGGTAATTAAATGTTTGAATAATTGTTTATGCTTCAATCTTTTTCTTTTGATATTCTTTAAACGTTTTATAAAAAGCACAGTTAACATGCTAAAATAAAGAATATATACATGTATACATATGAATATGTTTCTATTAGTTAGATGCCTTTGGAACTTTTCTTCTTTTTACTTTCCTTTATAAATAGCATGAATTATAGTCAATCTGCTTAAAATACAGATTCTGCATCCATGTTATAATTACTAAGATCTGACAACGCTCTTCTCTACTTTCTATTCTGGTAATTATCACATCAACCAATGATAATTCTTTTTCCAAATTCTTTTAAGGCGTGTATCAATGAAATTTGGTGTAAGGGCTGTTCCATAAAAACATACATGGGACCCAGGGAAGGCACTTCCAAATCTCAACTATGGGTGTGTGTCATCTATGTATTTGCATAGTGGAAATGTAAGTGAAAATTTTAATATGCCTCTATAGGTGGTTACCCCATTTTTAAAGTGCCTTCCCTGGGTATCATGTATGTTTTAATGGAACAGCCCTAATATCAAACAGCAAAGACAAGATGAATATCATCGTTCTCTTATATAAGTATGACCGAAGTGAGAGCTGAGTATATTTGTATATGACCTATACATACCGATAATCTTATTTTGAAATTTGGTGTAAATCAAACAGCAAAGACCAGATGAATATCATCATTTTCTTATAAAAGTCGGAATGACAAGAGAGAGAGACAAGTAGATTTGTATATAACCTATACTAACCGGTGGTAATGCTGCACCAGATTCCTCGGGAACTGCCACCTCTTGCACTGACGACCTGGCTGGAGTTGCTGCTGCAGCTGGTTTGTGGATAGGTTTATCTAATATATTGGACTTTCTTACAACTTTCAACTGTTCCTTTTGTGTAGGTACATATTCATCTTTCAGGGAGATCTGTTAGAAAGTAAAAAAGGGTCAAAACAAATCCATGTGCACCTTTTGATGGCATGTATCGTCAAGTACAAAAAAGGAAGGTGCAACTAATCTTCCTCTTCAACGAAGTAGCAAAATCAGACTAATAAAAAAAATCACACGCTTGAAAAGACATGATTTTATTTGAATTTTAGTTGTCATGAGCTGTTCATTTGAAGATATTTATAGAAGAATCATTTAGACTTATATGGTTCTGTAAATTCACCAAAAATAAAACTGTTGAATAGAACCAGTATTAATTTAATATTTTTTTTATCCTCAAAAAGGTGTACTGAAAATGTAAACAGTCTCAACTTCTGTGTAGTTTTGCTGTTCTATATTTGTTGTCATAATAAAACTGTATAAAGTGTATATAACTTATGAAAAAGAAATATGTTTTTATAGTTTTAACATTTTATCCTGACAGCAAATCAACGATATTTTGAAATATGTTGATTTTAGGGTAAATTGGGACTGCTAATCATACCTTTTTCTTATGTGCCCTTTGTTGGGGAACTGTCAAGGCTCTCAGCATGTACAAAAGGCCTTGCTAACTTCTACATTATTTGGTCTTTGGTGGAAATTTGTCCCATTGACAATCATATCACAAAACATCCCCTTGTTAAACCTCATCTTTAAGCAATATAAATATAGAAAAGAAAACATGAAAATAAAATCCAGCAAACAAGTTTAGCCCAGAATATCATAAAATTTAATCTCCACACAAATAAAAATCTTGACAGTGTCTCTTTCTGTTCATATCTTCCACATTTCAAAACAAGTACTTACCAGAATTGGATCTGATTTTTTCCCGGCTAACCATTCATCTGCAGTGACAGATGGTGTATCTCCTGCTGTGTCAGGGTAAAGGTCATCTTGGAATAATTCAGACTAACAAAAATATAATAAATTTGTAATAAATTGGTTAAAAAAATATCACATGTGAAAAAAATCCTGTAATTTCACTCCTCTAACATCATACCAAAAAGGGGAATAATTCAGACTAACAAAAATTAATAAAATTGTATTACATTGGTTGCAATGAAATACCTAGATTTCCGGTTAAAAAAATTTCACATATAAAAGAAATTTGATAATTTCACGTCCCCTGAGTATTTATGAAACGTTAACGACATTGCTATCAAAACCAGGCAAAAGGACATAGAAAAAGATATAATTTCTTGCATTACTTCTTGAATAATTTTCGATATCTGAATTCTTGGATTAGTTAATTTTTTTTAGTTATAATAGAAATTATCAACTGCATGATACACCAATACAGTTCATATTGAAATTATTGCAAGAATAAAATGGAATATTTAGATGGCATAATGTTACAAGTTAGATAAGTGTGTACAAATCAATAGAGTTAAGTATACGTGTTACCAGATTTTAGTTTGGGAGAATATGATTTAATTAGTTAGTTGTATTCAGCTTTGACAGAGAATGTAATTCAGTGGTTGTCGTTGGTTGTTGTCTGTCGTATATGTTTTTCGTTTATTGTTTTGTCATCAATCAGGCCATTGTTTTTTCACGTTTGAATTGTTTTACGTTTTAATAATTTCAGGGACTTTTATAAGTGACTTTACATATGGCTTTTGCTCACTGTTGAAGGCTGTCTCATTGGCAATCCTACCACATCTCCGTATATTTATATAAATGAAAAGTTTTTCTTCTATGGTATCTACCTTTACCTGAAATTGTTTCTTTCTAATAAGGAGGAGGAGAGAAGAAAATCAGAATATCTGTACGTAATACATACCTTTCTAGGAACAGTCATTGGTATAACTTCACATAGCCCACCATTGTGTAGTTTATAAAATCTAAAAGAAAGAAATGAATCTTTGTTCTTTTTTTTGTTTACTATCTTCATCTTTCCTACACTAACTTACACCCTCTGAGAGTAACATGTTCAAATTAATCTCTAAACTTTAATTAATATACTGTAAATTCAGAAATTATTGTCATGTTTTTATCAATGCGAAAAATGCAAAAGTATCAGGTTTGCAATAACAAAAACTTGCATTTATAGTTTCAGGAGTGATTTTCCTTCACAAATGTTTTGCAGTCGCATTAATTAGATCTCACATTTTTACCAGAAGTCAGTGATTCGCAATAATAAAATCATACACATTAATTCCTAAATTTACAGCATTCAAATTTTTTATACTAGGAAGTCTACAAAAAAATATAAATAATTTCAGAATATTAAAGCAAAAATGGCTGAATTTTGGACATGTTGGATAAAGAATTGAATTCAAGTAGGCTACTACTACTACTACTACTGCAGGCATGACAGAGGTTTTTGACGACCTTGACTTCCCAGGAATGTCTTTAATTATTGTTTGTAGGTATCAATGTCCCTGTGTGGCCTCGGTGGTCGAGTGGTCTAAGTAGTTACTACTGTAATCACTGGCCAGTCAACACTGAGGTTGTGAGTTCAAACCCCGCTTGTGCAATCGACTCCAATCTTAATTGACAAGAATTGTCAGTTTTCCTATCGAAGGTTGGTGGTTTCCTCCAGGCACTCCTGCTTCCTCCACCAATAAAAACTGGCCGCCACGAAATAGCCCAAAAGCGGTGCTTAAAAGTGGCGTTAAAACACCAAAAATCAAAAATCAAATCAATGTCCATGGTCATGTGTTACAGTACAAAACTTAATTTCATATTAACAGAATTAAATGGTGGGGTTTTAACTTTTATACAATAACACAATTGAGTTCTCATAGTTAAAATTTTGAAAGCTAAGGCAAATGATTTCTTTAGACAACAAAAGCATGAAAAGCTACAGGTATATTACCAAAAGGAATTTAACTAAAAGACACACTTAAAATTGACATGGAAAAAATCATCAACCTTCTTCTACCAATTTCCAGTTGCAGGCTGGATTTTTACTGTAAATTCAGAAATTATTGTGTGCATTTATTATTGCGATTTTGTCATTTCAGACTAGAATGCGATTTTAATTTTTGCGATATTGAGAAAAATCCTGTTTAATTCATTTGCAATATTGAGAAAAATCCTGTTTAACATGTTTAATTCATATAAAAAATTTCAAAATGCGATTTTAAATTATTGCGATTATAACCCTGCTGTTGCATTTTTCGCAATAATTTCTAAATTTACATTTTTTGTAGTTCTTTGCTGAATTACTACAAACATTCAGCACATAACTTTCCTTAATAATAAAGAAGTATTATTATAATTATATTGATTCCATATATTCTTTTTACCTAGCTATTTCACAATTATTGACATTAAGTCCTCGTTTAGGCATGTAGCCAAACCCTCTCTGTGCATCCTTGCACTGGTACAAGTTTAAGTAATGTACATAAGGAGCTTCATCTGTTACCTCGTAATATCTTATAATACTGTCACCCTGTAAAACACCACATAATTAAAACAGCAATCAAGGGAAATATCAGATAATTAAGGGCATATGATACAGTAGCAGAGGCAGATAATAACTCATTTCAGTTAAAAGTATGATACAGTAGCAGGGGCAGATAATAACTCATTTCAGTTAAAAGTATGATACAGTAGCAGGGGCAGATAATAACTCATTTCAGTTAAAAGTATGATACAGTAGCAGGGGCAGATAATAACTCATTTCAGTTAAAAGTATGGTTTTTGCATGAAATAATGAATAGTAATGATAAATTCACTCTTGTTGGCTTGGATTAATTCTGTAAAATTGTAATGTCAATATTTAAGTGATATTTACCTTCCTGGATAATTCTGTACATGCACATATGTTTAATTTTGTTCATGCATTATATTTGTTTTATTGTATTGTTTGTACTATCATGCCTCATGTGAGGCCTTTAATGAAACAAAAATTTTCAGTTTCAAAGCAATGCTGATAATATCATGCATCCATATTTCCAGGAAAACCCACTGTCATTATCAAATCATATAAAAGCCTGTGGGGTTCGTGGTGCTCAGTCTTTAGTTTTCTGTGTTGTGTTTTATTTACTGTTGTGTTTTATTTACTGTTGACTGTTGTGTTTTATTTACTGTTGACTGTTGTGTTTTATTTACTGTTGTGTTTTTTGGTCCTTTTCCGTTATTTGCCATCAGAGCTCCAGATAAGCTGCGTATTTGCGTGATCACGCAATACAAATAATTAAAAACCCAATGCAATTGCCCATTGCAGGGTTCAAAAACCCAATTCATTCAAAGGAAAACCCAATTATATGCCAAAACCATGAGTTCTTTACGCTTTTATTCGCTATCGTTTGCGTTATTTACCCTTATCTGATTACAGTCGTCGCGTAAATCTATTTTTATAATATTTATAATTGGAAATGTCCTTTCGTTCTAAAAATAGAGCCCTGCATCAAGTAGCCGAAATGGGTCCCTGTTGGAATTTTCCGTTGCTCAAAAGGTACACGTGTTTATGAAAACATTTCGATCTTCTCGGAGTTTATCCAATTAGTGTTTGTCTTGTTGTCATATTTTTTTCGAATTGCTCGGGATTTATCATAACATACAATGAATTAAAACGAAAGTAAATATCCGATAAAAATATTGAATAGAAGCATGTTTTCAGCTTCTTTTTGATACTTTAGGGAAAGTTATTATGATGATAACAAGACCCGTTTGCGTACCTTAACGAGAACATTGCTAGAACAATAAACACGGGTTTTGTCAAGAACGAAATCAGTTGGAAAAAGTGAAAGGCCAAATCAATAATGACATGATATATGTAGTTGGAAAGCATCAGTAACCAGAAGTTCTAATCACCTGGGACAACTTAACCCAGATTTATGTAAATTAAATTAAACAAAAACATTCAAGTATAATTTTAGTTTATATATTATTTTTTTCATTTTAGTTGATGAGTGAATACACATATCCGTTTTTTACGTCAATGCATCTTGACACTTTCTTTGTTTTGGTCTTATTGTCCTGTATGCTTATGATAGTTGTCTTATTGGCAAGTGCAGTTTTACATTGTCATTTATTTATTTGATGTGGCAGAATTATTTGTAAATTTAACTCTGTAAATTTCAGTTGAATGTGGTCTCCGTCATTAAACCTATAAACCTGGTCAAGGTTTTGGGGTATATCTTAAATCTGGGAACTACTTATTATTTTTATTAAAAAGTAGATCTGGCAAATAGGTGAAAGGACTGGCGAAACTTTCTTACAGCACCTAAATTTCACATATATTACATAAAAATCTAAACACTTAGCCATGCCTACCCCAACTAAACTGTAGAGGGATCATATGGGATCTAGAAAGGTAATTAGTAACTGTCCAACTAGTGACACCAGCTGCAGTTTATATAAGTTGTGAGAAAATACAAAACTGGCAGAACGTTTAAAATCGGACACAAATTAAACGTACAATTGCTCGTCAGTGAATAAACCAAATAAAACAGCTAGCATATATACAAAGAAAGAAACACATTTAAGATGGAAAAACATCTGCATGGGGTTGATATAATGTGATTATAACATGCCTAAATATTCAATATTGTGTTGATGAAAAAACCCAATACATTAAGGAGCTTGGTGGTGAAAAACCCAATTTGATATTTGCTTGAGGGGTGAATTGGAATTGATAATGCAATTTAAAAACTTTATCACCCAATTACATATAAAATTGGTGGGTAAAAACCCCAATTTGTGAATTCTTATCTGGAGCTCTGTGCCATGGTATTGTCAGATGGTTTAGACTTTTGTGTTTGAATGTCTCTTTGGTATCTTTCGCCCTCACCCCCACTTTGCATGAATTTGAAAGAATCACAAAGCAAAACAGAGATGCTATTAATGGAAGCATGTAATATCCACTTTGGAACATAACACTGATTTTAATAAACAACTGGTTACTTATATGTCATTACAAATAATCAATAAAAATTTATTTTACATTGTGGTATACAGCAAAAATGCTTACACGACAATGTCCTATTATTAAACAATGCACTACAAAGTTATTTTTCACCAAAAACAGAATTACTTTAAATAGCATTACAAAAAAAAAGGTTTCCTTCTTTAAGCAACAACAAAAAACAAGCACATGGACCCCCATTTTTTTCTTCCACAATCAATTGTGTACTGCTTCAAGAATACACTGTCATAATTGCAAAAAAATATCAACAAGGCCACCCTTAAAAAATTCTTTTTTTGATGTTGCCTACCCGTGCTTGTAGCTCTCATAGGGTTTGGCAGGTAGGTAGGGATTTCTATTTGGCCAACAACTTAAGTAACATGTTTTAGACAGGAAAACAACGTTAGAGTAGGAAAAAATCTTTAAAATAAAAATTTGAAACGCTTTGTCTCATAAATTTTTTGAGTAGGCTGCTTTTTTTAGGTGGGTAGGTAGGCAACATAAAACAATTTAAATTTTATTTTTGACCCAATACATTTTCCCCTGTATGCATGTGTTGTATTGGCAGGAAGGCATTGATTCTTGCATACCTGAATCAAAATTATTCATACAGCACATCTATCACATTCTAATGCCTATCAAATTTTTACTTCAGTTGATTGTTCCAGCAAAAGTAATTTTTGACTGAATCTCCTTGTGCTTAAAGTACAACAGTCACAATATTTGGAGTAACATTGTTACGACTGTTCATATAAATCTTACCCTTCCAAGAAGATATATCATACTTGTGTCGGCATCATAAAATGGAAACATAACACCATTACTCTGGTCAATCTCTTCACGCATCATTTCTTCTGATAGATCATTCTAAAATGAGAATTATTTTGAAATGAGACAAGCTGGAATTTAATTACAAATACACAGCAGAAACACAATGATAGATGAGAAAATATGTTTTGATAAAATCGTAAACCAATTTTATTTTCTTATCCATTTAGTTTTTGACTGCATGCAAGTAATTTGATAAAAAATAGATCAAAAACTCAATTGGCTGGGTTGTGCAGAATGTTTCTTGAACAATGTAGAATGCTCTCTACTGAACATTTAAATATTTGAGAAAGTCTGGAAAAATGATAAAAAATTCCTCAAACAATTCCATAACAGCAGGTCCACAACTTGAACATTAGTGCAATATGTGTGTGAGGTTTCAGGGATCTGGGTTGAATACTGTAGGAGGAGTTGATTATACAAAGAAGGTACCCACTTTTTCAATACCTTTACATCAGAATACTATTTATATATAAGTATGTCTGAACCAGTGACAACTCTACGACAGATTTATAATCCCAGCCAGGGAAGAACAAAAAATTTGCTTCCGCAAATTTACAGATCTAACATTGTTTGGCTGTTATTTAGATGAATTATGTATATATATATATAAGCAAGTTTTGGACTTCATCCATCCTGGCCAAAAATATCAATAATCATCAGAATGTCAGATAATAAAACAGCCAAGTTGTGTATTTGTGCGTTATTACCTCATTCCACAATGCATACTGTCTGGTGCTCATCCTAGAGAATCCTGCAGAGAATATTTTACCATCCTTTAAATACACAGCCTGTGCTGGCTTAGCTCCTTCATGGGCCTTCACTTCCTACAAATGTCAAATATAAAAATAACATAAATACATATACAATATTGTGAGCTATTAGTTTTCTCTGTTTTTAAAGCTTGTACAAATAAATTTTATACTTCCATTTATTCATTACTTTGTCTTTGAATAAAATCGACATGACTTAAATGCATACCGCGATGAGGAGCCCAAAGTGAACTGTGAAGTTAAAAGTAATCTATTATTACCCTTAGCTTGCAACAAAAGCAGGATACCAGGAGACTATATATATATAGATGGCATGATACTAAACCCCTGACAGGAGGGATTGTGCTTGATTTTCCTATGATGAAGAGATAATCTTTTGATCAGTTTAATTGAGGTCTGGAGCTGGCATATCAGCAACTGCTAGTACCAGTAGTCCTTTGTTAATTTATGTTGATCATTGTGATTTTGCTTAGTTTCTTCTGTTACCTATTCTAACATCAGACTTCTTTTAAACAGAGTTTTACTGTTCATATTGCTGTGCGTTTGTTTATTTCACATTGGCTAGAGAGATAGGGGAGGGTTAAGATCTGACAAAACATGTTTAACCAAGACATATAGATGTGCCTGTCCCAAGACAGGAACCTCTAGCCTTTGTTAGTCTTTAGTGTTTTTTTTATTTTGGTTCATTTATATGTTTCAGAGTTAAGTGTGACGTCCATTTTGCTGAACTAGTATACATTATTGTTTAGGGGCCAGTTGAATCCCGCCTTTGGGTGCAGGATTTTCTGGCTGCATTGAAGACCCAATGGTGGCCTTGGGCTGTTTTCAGCTCTTTGGTGGAGTTGTTGCCTCTTTGACACGTTTCCTGTTTCCATTCCCAATTCTATTTATACTTTAGGCATATCACTCTTTGTTATCTGTAGAACTGTATTGTATTGTTGAAAGATACATTGCAGGATAAATATATGTAAATTTTATCAAGGTACAATTGGACGATATGGGAAAAAAAACTAAATCAGGACCAGAAAAAAACCAACTGAACTATGAATATAGTTTTCTTTTAATGCTAGTCAAATGTTGAAAGTTCTACATGTATGCCTTGTATGAAAATCCACTTTAAATATTTGATATAATGTTAGTGTGTTGACAAATATCTTATGTTTTCCTTCCTTATTTTGTCCAATAAGGAATTAATTGTCAAATGAGAGTACCCACAGGAAAGGAAATTATAAGGTTTAAAAATTTGGACCATTAACATGCCATATACGGCTAAATTATTTACACATCCTAATAAAACATTTAACACTCTAAAATGCTGATCAAGTACTGTAAATTCAGAAATTATTGCGAAAAATGCGAAAGTGTTATAATCGCAATAATTTAAACTCGCATTTTGAAATTTTTTATATGAACTAGACAGGGTTTTTCTTAATATCACAAAAATTAAAATTGCATTTTAGTATAAAATAACAAAATCGCATTAATAAATGCACGCAATAATTTCTGAATTTACAGTACCTCAATTAACTTTTACAAAATTGTGACCTTTTACTGAACATAATCATGAATGGTTTGTTATTCTATCATGTCTATAATACATATTTTATATACCCAACATCTCCTTTTATTCACATTCAAGAATCCTGATTCACTGACTTTTAAAGAGAACAAAATCAGCTTCTATGTGAGGAAAAACTTATGTATGGACAAACATACACACATACAAGGGTCAAAAGGTATATCTATAAGACCCTTCCACATATTTCCTGATCTTCCATCACCTTGATCACAAATACATGACAGGTCAAAGGGTATATCTAAATGATCCTTCAAATGTACACCTAGGGACAGATGATACTTACGCCTAACATATCTCCTGTTCGTGGATTGTACACTCTCATCATTTTATCTTTACACGTAGTTACAAATTTTGACCCATCGTAATTCCATGATGCTGATAAGATGTGATCAGGAGAATCTATCTGTACAACAGCTTCACCAGTTCCTACATTCCAAATCATTATAATATTGTCTTGACCTGGAAAAGGAAAACATTTTATTATGTGTATATATGATTGATTGATTGATTGATGTTTAAAGCCACTTTCAGCACGGTTGGCTATTTCATGGCGATCAGTTTTTATTGGTGGACGAAGCCGAAGTGCCTAAAGAGAGAACCCCCAACATTCGGCAATCTGACAATCCTAGTCAATCAAGATTGGAGCCAAGAGCATCTGCCACATGCAGGCCAGGTTCGAACTCACAACCTCAGTGTTGACAGGCTTGGACTACTACGACCACTCTGCCACTAAAGCCCCTTTTGTGTATGAAATATTGTGTAAATCATGTAATATTTGTAGCAAGCTAAGAGTCATACGTTTAAAATGAAAACTTTAATTTCAAATAGGACAAAACTTGCTTCATTTCAACCATTAATTACTTAATTTACAAAATATCTTAAATTACTCTCTCATGAATCGATATTTTGCACACAAAAATTACTATAGTGTAGATGTATTTTCTATTATATTTTGTGTTGTTCTGTTGCTATCTCATTGACTCGTAATTGAAAAAATGTTGCATTTGAACAATAAAATCAAATATTATTGTTGTTTTCTTAAATATTAATTTGATTTCTAATATGTGTGTGATAATTTTCCATCTGAAGCTACTATACTGAGCTGGTTTATTTTGGTCATGTAGAGTGATAAGGTGATGACATAATAAGCCCAACATCATTGACATTGCTCAGGAAAATAGTGATATACAGATTAACTGTGGTCCTGCAACTTCAGGAAGTTTCTAGGCTACATCTTGCATCAAGTTTACCTCCCTACAAATTAAACAATGAGATTGTAGCAGAGAAACTCTGTCTTGTTTGCAGAACCACAGATAAGCTAATACTAATATATGACAAACAAACCTCCACTGAGTAGAATATTGATAATCTAATACTAATATATGATAAACAAACCTCCACTGAGGAGAATATTTATAATCTAATACTAATATATGACCAACAAACCTCTACTGAGGAGAATATTAATAAGGCCAAAAAAAATATATGTCTGTTTACAGTTACCCAACCGACCCTAATTTGAGTGAATCTTGAATATGACAGCTGTTTTAAGGAAAGTCACAACTCTCTCGTGATGAAATAAACACTTTGCCACCCTTTATTCCCAACCAATAACCAAGGGAAATAATCCAATCATTAAAAATACTGATAAACTCTGCCTATGGACAACTAGGACCAAGGCAATACAGACCGCATGACTCAAAATCATATCGCAAATAAAATGCTTCGCTGGGGCGCAGCTTGATACGACCGCAGAGGTCGAACCCTGAACAGTTGGGGCAAGTATGGACACAACATTCAAGCTTGATACAGCTCTGAATTTGGATTGTTATTAAATATTTGACACAGCATAGGTTTCTGACACAGAAAGAATGTGGTCTAAGAACTTGAATTTTTTTAATTTACCTATTATGGTCCAATGTCCAAAATCAAAATACATGGTAAGATTCAGCATATCAAAGAACCCCATATATTCAATTTTTGTTAAAATCAAACAAAGTTTAATTTTGGACCCCAACTTGGACAAACTTGAAAACTGGGCCCATAATCAAAAATCTAAACACATGTTTAGATTCAGCATATCAAAGAACCCCAAGAATTCAATTTTTGCTAAAATCAAACTAAGTTTATATATTGACCCTTTGGACCTTAATGTAGACCAATTTAAAAAACGGGACTTAAAATTAAAAATCTAAATACACGGTTAGATTGGGAATATCAAAGAACCCCAATAATTCAATTTTTGATGTAATCAAACAAAGTTTAATTTTGGACCCTTTTGACCTCAATATATATGAACCAATTTGATAACGGGGCCCACAAATAAAAATTCTAAATTCATGGTTAGATTCAGCATATCAAAGAACCCCATATATTCAATTTTTGTTGAAATCAAAAAAAGTTTAATTTTGGACCCCAACTTGGACCAACTTGAAAACTGGGCCAATAATCAAAAATCTAAACACATGTTTAGATTCAGCATATCAAAGAACCCCAAGAATTCAATTTTTGTTAAAATCAAACTAAGTTTAATTTTGGACCCTTTGGACCTCAATGAAGACCAATTTAAAAAACGGGACCCAAATTAAAAATCTAAAAACACGGTTAGATTTGGCATATCAAAGAACCCCAATAATTCAATTTTCGATGAAATCAAACAAAGTTTAATTTTGGACCCTTTTGACCTCAATATGAACCAATTTGATAGCGGGGCCTACAAATAAAAAATCTAAATACATGGTTAGATTCAGCATATCAAAGAACCTCATATATTCAATTTTTGTTGAAATCAAACAAAGTTTAATTTTGGACCCCAATTTGGACCAACTTGAAAACTGGGCCCATAATCAAAAATCTAAATACATGTTTAGATTCAGCATATCAAAGAACCCCATATATTCAATTTTTGTTGAAATCAAACAAAGTTTAAATACTGGACCCTATCTTGGACCAACTTGAAAACTGGGCCCATAATCAAAAATCTAAATACATGGTTAGATTCAGCATATCAAAGAACCTCATATATTCAATTTTTGTTGAAATCAAACAAAGTTTAATTTTGGACCCCAATTTGGACCAACTTGAAAACTGGGCCCATAATCAAAAATCTAAATACATGTTTAGATTCAGCATATCAAAGAACCCCATATATTCAATTTTTGTTGAAATCAAACAAAGTTTAAATACTGGACCCTATCTTGGACCAACTTGAAAACTGGGCCCATAATCAAAAATCTAAACACATGTTTAGATTCAGCAAATCAAAGAACCCCAAGAATTCAATTTTTGTTAAAATCAAACTAAGTTTAATTTTGGACCCTTTGGACCTCAATGTAGACCAATTTAAAAAACAGGACCCAAAATTAAAAACCTAAATACACGGTTAGATTTGGAATATCAAAGAACCCCAATAATTCAATTTTAGATGAAATCAAACAAAGTTTAATTTTGGACCCTTTTGACCTCAATATGAACCAATTAGATAACGGGGTCCACAAATAAAAAATCTAAATACATGGTTAGATTCAGCATATCAAAGAACCCCATATATTCAATTTTTGTTGAAATCAAACAAAGTTTAATTTTGGACCCCAATTTGGACCAACTTGAAAACTGGGCCAAAAATCAAAAATCTAAATACATGTTTAGATTCAGCATATCAAAGAACCTCATATATTCAATTTTTGCTAAAATCAAACAAAGTTTAATTTTGGACCCTTTGGACATTAATGTAGACCAATTTGAAAACTAGACCCAAAATTAAAAATCTAAATACACTGTTAGATTCGGCATAACAAATAAATAAATGTGATCAAAGATTTTACAAATCTAATGCGCCATACTGTGCAATTAAAGATTACTTCTTGAAATTTTTTAATATTTGAAATTTGAAAAAAAAATAATATTTGAAGAATAATTCTTTTTAATTTCTGAAATCTGAAATGAGAAAAAATTGGCCCCCCACAATTTCTTTTTATCCCCCCCCCCCCCCTTTTTCCCCCAAAAAAATTCTTTCCCTCAAGATATGGTCATAATCTCAATTCAAATTTCCAATGGAGATGGCAACCATAATTACCCATTTAAATTTACCATAGTGCTAACTTAATCATGTTAATCTATTTTATAATAGAATTAATAAAAATATAGTGTCAAATCTTTCATATGGATTTTTTTGTAAAAAAAAAAGATGAAAACATTTGCAGATATTTTTACTGGTCTTCCTTTATAAATATGCATTTCTTTAAACATAATTTAAAAGCAGTGTAAGGGAAGTAACCAAAACGTTGTATTTGGATTACCTCCCTTACACTGTTTTAGATTATCTTTATTGTTCATTAACCATTACTTTATACATAATTTAAAAGCAGTGTAAGGGAGATAATTTCAATGATGTATTTGATTTATCTCCCTTACACTGCTTTAAATTATGTTTTGTACTAAAGTATTTGTCCATTAACCAGGACAACCTTGTTTTTCCCCCTTTTTTGCCCCTAATTCCTAAACGGTTTGAGCCATAACCCCCCAAAGCAAATCCTAACCATCCCTTTGTGGTATGGAAACTTGTAGTATAATTTCAGAGAGATCCATACACCGTTCCACAGTTATTGTCTGGAAACTAGAAAATGCTCATTTTTGGCCCCTTTTTGGCCCCTAATTCCTTAACTGTTGGTACCATAACCCCCAAAATCAATCCCAACCTTCCTTTTGTGGTATTTAACCTTATGGTCAAATTTCAAAAAGATCCATTCACTTAAACTAAAGTTAGAGTGCGAAAACCAATATGTATTCGGACGACGACGCCAACGTCATACCAATATACGACCACAAAATTTTTTTGCGGTCGTATAAAAATAAAATGAGAAAAAAAATGGAAATATCGACACGTGTACCTTTTTTTTTTATGATGTAACTTTAAATAGACATATATTTTCAATTTTTTGGCCAAATCTAATACTAATATGACAAACAAACCTCCACTGAGGAGAATATTCTGTGCTGTGGGATGCCATTTTACAACACCAACTCTCTTTTGATGTCCTAGTAAATCTACAATTGGTTCTGTTAGAGGTTTGATAACACCACCCTCGGGGATCTGCCAGACTTTCACATAACAATCTTCAGAACAACTAGCAATAATATCATCATTATGGGGACACCATTCTATATCTAATACTGCTGCCTTGTGTCCTGATACCAGGGGAGAATCTCTCTCAACACGTCCAGTCTGAAAGTCAAAAATACATATTTCTGATGTTGATTATATTTTTTATGCTTTACTTTCACAAATTTAACTTTACTTACCATTGCTTACCATGCTTAAAGGTAACTCTTAAGATTATATTCTACTGTACATGTAGATCATGGAAATAATAGTGTGGGTCTAATTTTCACAATAAGCATTTTACCGCAAAATGAAGCCTTTGACAACATTTCACTGTCCATTTAAATGCATTGTACAAGGCAGTGAACAAGAAAAATAAACACGACAAAGATTAAACTGCTCCTTCTAAGACTCAAATGGCAAACAAAACATAATACGTAAATAACCTGAAGTAGGGTATCTCGCTTCTTAAAGGAAGTTGGTACTTCTGATGAGTAATTGCAAGTCCACAACCCTTAAATTTTTCTTTTATGTCAATTCACTAAAAAATAAAAATTCCATTAAACAATTGTGTAAAATTGTCCTCAAAATTAACAACCCTAAACCAAAATTGTGATGACATTTAGTCTAAACATTTTACATATTTACATGTAGTAATTTCCAGAATTCACACATGATTCAGCAGATGAAAACCATGACTAGAAACAATGTAAAATTGAGAATGGAAATGGGGAATGTGTCAAAGAGACAACAACCCGACCATAGAACAGACAACAGCAGGTCACCAACAGGTCTTCAATGCAGCGAGAAATTCCCGCTCCCGGAGGCGTCCTTCAGCTGGCCCCTAAACAAATATATATACTAGTTCAGTGATAATGAACGCCATACTAAACTCCAAATTGTACACAAGAAACTAAAATTAAAAATAATACAAGACTGACAAAGGCTAGAGGCTCCTGACTTGGGACAGGCGCAAAAATGCGGCGGGGTTAAACATGTTTATGAGATCTCAAACCTCCCCCTATACCTCTAGCCAATGTAGAAAAGTAAACGCATAACAATACGCACATTAAAATTCAGTTCAAGAGAAGTCCGAGTCTGATGTCAGAAGATGTAACCAAAGAAAATAAACAAAATGACAATAATACATAAATAACAACAGACTACTAGCAGTTAACTGACATGCCAGCTCCAGACTTCAATTAAACTGATTGAAAGATTATGTCTTCATCATATGAATATCAGGCACAATCCTTCCCGTTAGGGGTTTAGTATCATACCATCATAACATATATGAGAAGAACATAACCCTGAATGTACCTGATATCAAAACCTATATGTTTGTTAGAACATGTAATACAATAAGATCACGACAATGCATAACTCATTGAATAAAATCAAGATTTCTGAAAAATCCTCATTTTTGCACAATTCATTTCGGCTCCCTACTTTCAGACTTTCTTATTAAATTAATGGTATTACCAGGTTTATAAAATGAAGAATTGCAGAAAAAAATAGAAAATTGATCAGCCCCCTAACAATTAAATTTTTGTTATAAATCTAGTTACATTCTAAATGTGCCAGTAAGAGAGGCAGAAGATACCACAGATATAAATATTCAAACTCAAGAGTGAATGACAATCTGACAACACCATGGTAATTAAAGAGCTGCACCATGAGCGCATGATACGCCTGTCGCTTTTTCAACAGATAAAGTTCCATAACTTCTCAATGTCATATCAGAAATTTTTAAAAAACTAAAGTGAGCTTATTTTAATAGATATAAACCAGTCACCAACATGACCAAAGTTTCTTGAAAACTGCTCAAAGCATTTTTGAGTTATTGTCCAAAAACTGGAAATCCCCCTTTTCTATGAATAAAATCACATAACTTGGACATGTTGGAAAAGTAAAATCTAAACCTTATACAAATATTATTTGTGTGTGCGTGATCTTAATTGTGTGAGCAAAGGAGTGGAAACCTGCACTATTTTATCATGTTTATCTACATGTACATGTATTTATTGTTAAAAAATTAGGATCATGTAGAAATGTACTTCCTCCCCGGACTCCTGACATATACATGATAAATATCTAAATCTCATTTGAATGCTTTTTCCTGTTATTAAATCATGTAAAATGACTAAATTTGTCATTTTAACATCAGAGATCAATTTGAGGATTTAATGCCCCAAAACAATAGATAAAAATAAATTACAAAGCCGCACACATCTTTACAGGTGTAACAAAACTCACCAGTTTACATTTACTTTTGACAGAGTGTGGGTGGGAAACTCTTCAACGTGAAGAGAAAATCATAAACTTCTACTTTTTCATAATATGGTTAAGGGATAGACCCCATGTTATCTAAATGATATTCTACCTTATCAGTTTAGAAACATACACCCGTAAAGAACTCGTTTCACTAATAATTATATAATTTCCCATCAGTTCACTGACGAACTACTTATTATATGAATAGTTTCCTTCCATCAACAGTTCGTTCGACTTTCAAATAGACTTCCCCCAGATATAAATAAAATGCTCCGCAGGGCGCAGCTTGATACGACCGCAGAGGTCGAACCCTGAACAGTTGGGGCAAGTATGGACACAACATTCAAGCTTGATACAGCTCTGAATTTGGATTGTGATTAAATATTTGACACAGCATAGGTTTCTGACACAGAATGAATGTGGTCTAAGAACTTAAAAATTTTAAATTGGACATTCACCTATTATGGTCCAATATCCAAAATCTAAATACATGGTTAGATTCAGCATATCAAAGAACCCCAAGAATTCAATTTTTGATGAAATCAAACAAAGTTTAATTTTGGACCCTTTTGATCTCAATGTGGACAAAAATGATAACAGGGCCCAAAAATCAAAAATCTAAATACATGGTTAGATTCAGCATATCAAAGAACCCCATATATTCAATTTTTGTTGAAATCAAACAAAGTTTAATTTTGGACCCCGATTTGGACCAACTTGAAAACTGGGCCCATAATCAAAAATCTAAATACATGTTTAGATTCAGCATATCAAAGAACCCTAAAAATTCAATTTTTGTTAAAATCAAACTAAGTTTAATTTTGGACCCTTTGGACCTTTATGTAGACCAATTTGAAAACGGAACCAAAAATTAAGAATCTAAATACACAGTTAGATTCGGCATATCAAAGAACCCCAATAATTCAATTTTTGATGAAATCAAACAAAGTTAAATTTTGGACCCTTTGGACTTCAATGTGGACCAATTTAAAAACGGGGCCCAAAATCCAAAAACTTAATACACGGTTAGATTCAGCATATTAGAGAACCCCATATATTCCATTTTTGTTGAAATCAAACAAAGTTTAATTTTGGACCCCGATTTGGACCAACTTGAAAACTGGGCCCATAATCAAAAATCTAAATACATGGTTAGATTCAGCATATCAAAGAACCCCATATATTCAATTTTTGTTGAAATCAAACAAAGTTTAATTTTGGACCCCGATTTGGACCAACTTGAAAACTGGGCCCATAATCAAAAATCTAAATACATGGTTAGATTCAGCATATCAAAGAACCCCATATATTCAATTTTTGATGAAATCAAACAAAGTTTAATTTTGGACCCTTTTGATCTCAATGTGGACAAAGTTGATAACGGGGCCCAACAATCAAAAATCTAAATACATGGTTAGATTCAGCATATCAAAGAACCCCATATATTCAATTTTTGTTGAAATCAAACAAAGTTTAATTTTGGACCCCGATTTGGACCAACTTGAAAACTGGGCCCATAATCAAAAATCTAAATACATGGTTAGATTCAGCATATCAAAGAACCCCATATATTCAATTTTTGTTGAAATCAAACAAAGTTTAATTTTGGACCCCGATTTGGACCAACTCGAAAACTGGGCCCATAATCAAAAATCTTAATACATGGTTAGATTCAGCATATCAAAGAACCCCATATATTCAATTTTTGATGAAATCAAACAAAGTTTAATTTTGGACCCTTTTGATCTCAATGTGGACAAAGTTGATAACGGGGCCCAACAATCAAAAATCTAAATACATGGTTAGATTCAGCATATCAAAGAACCCCATATATTCAATTTTTGTTGAAATCAAACAAAGTTTAATTTTGGACCCCGATTTGGACCAACTTGAAAACTGGGCCCATAATCAAAAATCTAAATACATGGTTAGATTCAGCATATCAAAGAACCCCATATATTCAATTTTTGTTGAAATCAAACAAAGTTTAATTTTGGACCCCGATTTGGACCAACTCGAAAACTGGGCCCATAATCAAAAATCTAAATACATGGTTAGATTCAGCATATCAAAAAACCCCATATATTCAATTTTTGTTGAAATCAAACTAAGTTTAATTTTGGACCCTTTGGACCTTTATGTAGACCAATTTGAAAACAGAACCAAAAATTAAGAATCTAAATACACGGTTAGATTCGGCATATCAAAGAACCCCAATAATTCAATTTTTGATGAAATCAAACAAAGTAAAATTTTGGACCCTTTGGACCTCAATGTGGACCAATTTAAAAACGGGGCCCAAAATCTAAAAACTTAATACACAGTTAGATTCAGCATATTAAAGAACCCCAAGAATTCAAGAATAAAACCCCATTGAAATTGATCAAGAAATAAGCAATTTATACGAAGTATCTTCTTTTGCACAATACTGTGCAATTGATTATTTCTTGCTATTGCGCAATACTGTACAATTGACAATTTCTTGCTATTGCGCAATATTGTGCTATTGGATATTTCTTGCTATTGCGCAATACTGTGCAATTGAAGATTTCTTGCTATTGCGCAATACTGTGCAATTGAAGATTTCTTGCTATTGTGCAATACTGTGCAATTGAAAATTTCTTGCTATTGCACAATACTTATTATATAATAATTTACACATCCTGTTTGGTGTGTATCTCCTACCATATCATTATTATTTGCTTTTAAATATAAATCAGAAATAACCAACTTAAAATGGAAAATTTTAAAAGAAAAAAAAAAAGGAAAAAAAGAAAAAAAAAAGAAAAAAAAAAAAATCTCCCCCCCCCCAAATTTTTTGAACCCCCTTATGATTCATCACCCCCAAA